CCACCAGAGCCTGGCTTCTTACCCACTACTTCCTTGTTTGCGGGCAGGGTGATGGTCAACAGCGGGGTCAGGGCACTGGAGGAACTGGAAGTGGTGTGAAATAGCCCTGCCTGGGGAAGGATGAGGGAACTTCAGTTTCAGAAACGGAGAGTTAATTTCAGAGGCTGGAGGAGGTCCATGAGCAGTGGCTCCAGTTCACGGGAGGGCATGTTCTCCTGCAGCCATCTTGGCAGCCTTGCTGTAGAGGAGACAGATGGTCGGGATGGTTAGACTGATCCAAAGTTGAGGAACTACCAGGTGGAAGCAGCAGAAGGACAAGGAGCGAAGACTCTGGGGTGCTGGCAAGGAGTGGTTGACATATGTGCCCTGGAGTCTGAGCTGAATGGGGGAGCAAGTGAAGCCAAGAAGGAGAGAAGAGAGCGGCTGGGGCTTGAGCTGGGCTGTGAAGAGGTTTATTGAGGGAATTTCTGGTCACTGGGGATAGTCAGTTCAAGGACGGGGAGGAGAGATGGCTTGGGCCATATCTGGCTGGGGGGCAAGATGGGAGGGTCTATCCTTTGAGCAACCAGAGTGTTTGTTTCCCCAAGGAGCAGAGAGAAGACCACGCTGACCCCGGGCTGAAGAGGGAGGCTGTTTCAGGCACATTATTGCATGATCGACAGCTGTGAGAAGTGTTCAAATAAATGTGATTTTGAAAAATGAGGAGGCCTTGGAGATTATGTCACTAGAAGGGTCCAGAGCTCTTAAGCAACTGCACCCCTCCTCCCTCCCCCACCAGCCTGGGTGGGATTCAAAACCAGGTGCTTTAAATTTAAGTTGGTGAGCCTCTGTAACCGGCTGCCATGTTCTAACGCTAGCAGGATGTCTTCCTGAGTGGTTTTAGAGCAGAACAACTCTTGTTTTTCCACAGGGCAGGAATGGAGTCTCATGCGTCTCTGCATTCTCCGTAGTTCCCAAGTCAGTCACTGCTCAGTACATTCTTTCTGACGGATTTGTGGGAGTGGCACCTATCTCAGGGAAGAAGTATTGCAGTGAGTCCAAATTTTCAAGTAGTATTCAGGAGAGCCTGGGCGCTCAGTTGGTGGAGCGTCCGACTTCAGCTCGGGTCATGATCTCACAGTTTGTGCGTTCAAGCCCCACATCAGGCTCTATGCTGTCCAGACAGATCCTGGAGCTTGCTTTGGATTCTTTGTCTCCCCTTTTCTCTGCTCCTCCCCTGCTCACACTCTTTCTCTCTCTCAAAAATAAATAAACATCAAGTAGTAGTATTATTTCTATGTTCTTAGGGATCTTCCTTTCTTTTGATCCTTACTGAGCAAGCATTACTCTGGACATGTGGTGTATGCTTTGTCACTAGAGCTTTGTCTTGTAGACATACTAATTAAAACAATGCTTTTCTGAAACCAAGTCCTTGTGGAAGCTTAGTTCTCACAGACCATATGACTCAGCTGCACAGAGTTAAGTTGGAACCCACTTAAAGGGGAAAATTACCTCTGAGCTTCCTTTTAGTTGATCAGGCAGCAGGGAGGTGAGGGAAAGGGGATAAAGATGGTGGACCTCAGCAAGCACGAACAGGCGTGAGCTTATCTTCCCCAGGAATATTCCATTAAGAAACAGAAGTGTCCCTGGTGGAATGTAGCTCAGCTAACCCTAGTCATGCCTTACAGTTTGTCTTTGTAGTTTCGAGGACAGAGTAGGCTTTGTAGCATCAAAGGCATCCTGTGCAGAAGGTGCCAAGTCTCTGTGCTCTGGAAACATCTCTGCCACTCTAGGTAATTAAAGCAGAACTAGTCAGAGAACAATCTGGAAAACCAGAAGATAGCAGTTCTATTTCTGCAAAATGGAGCCTTACGTGTGGCATTTTTGCTAAAAGCTGGGATTAAAATTGGTGACAACATCACTAAACCAAAGATCACTGGTGGTTCTGGAGTGGCCAGGAATCAGTGGATCAAAATTCTCGTACTTTTTTTTTTTTTAATGTTTTCCTTATTTCTGAGAAAGAGAGAGACAGTGTGAGCAGGGGAGGGGCAGAGAAGAGAGGAAGATACAGAATGAGAAACAGGCTCCAGTCTCTGAGCTGTCAGCACAGAGCCCGATGCGGAGCTCGAACCCACGAACCGTGAGATCATGACCTGAGCCGAAGTCGGACGCTTAACCAACTGAGCCACCCGGCGCCCCAAAATTCTCGTACTTTGTAAGGGACAAATGGGGCAAGAAAACCCACCTAGAATTTCTTTTAAGGAGTCTCTATGTCCATACAGAGTTCCTGGATCTAATGATCCATCAAAACTTAAGAGTAATGTTTATTGTCATCACCTCACCTGTTTGAACTTGTTTCTACCCCTTTCAAGAGTTGCCACTTCTCCAAAAATGGAAATGAGTACTGCCACAGGACCTTGGTTGTGACTACAAGATCCCAAAGGTAAGGCTTCTAAAAAAAATACAGTTACCTGAAATCCTTCTCGAATCTTAAAAGGTACCATTAATGACTATATAGAGAAAATAGAGTATATAAAGTAGATTATTTTCCCCTTTTTATTTTATTTTATTTTTTTAATTTTTTTTAATGTTTTATTTATTTCTAGGAGAGAGAGAGACAGCGTGAGCAGGGGAGGGTCAGAGAGAGAGGGAGTCACAGACCGAAAGAGGCTCCAGGCTCTGAGCTGGCAGTCAGCACAGAGCTCTACGCGGGGCTCTAACCCATGAACCGCGAGATCATGACCTAAGCGAAAGTTGGACGCTCAACCGACTAAGCCACCCAGGCGCCCCTATTTTTCCCTTTTTAGAAAAAATATATTTTAAAGTTTATTTTGAGGTGGGGAGAAGGGCAGAGAGAGAGGGAGAGAGAATCCTAAGCAGGTTTCACACTGTCAGCGCAGAGTCTGATGCAGGGCTTGAACTCACAAACCATGAGATCACACTCTGAGCCAAAATCAAGGGTCGGATGCTTAAGAGACTGAGCCACCCAGGTGCCCCTAAATACATATATATTTTTAAGTAATCTCTATGCCCAACATGGGGCTCGAATTCATGAGCCCGAGGTCAAGAGTCACATGTCCTAACAACTGAGCCAGCCAGCACTACCCTGCCGCCTTTAACCTTTGTTGACAGCTGTTGAATGTAAGGTAGATCTTGGCCTCTTACTCGACTAAAATACTATCTTTTCTACTTTTCCCTGATTCCATTCTCATGATTCACTCTTAATGATCAAGATGCTTTGGGTTATTTCTCCTGCAGCATGAGATTGATTATGTTTACAAAGAATCAATCACCTTAGTTTGTCATTTTAAAGTTTCCAGCTATGGGCACCTGGGTGGCTCAGTGAGTCAAGCGTCCAACTTCAGCTCAGGTCATGATCTCACGGTTCAAGGGTTCAAGCCCTGAGTCAAGCTGTGTGCTGACAGCTCAGAGCCTGGAGCCTGCTTCTGATTCTGTGTCTCTCTCTCTCTCTGTGTGTCCCTTCCCCAGCTCGTGCTATCTCTCTCTCCCTCTCCAAAATAAACATTAAAAAAAAAAGTTTCCAGCTAGAGGCACCCTTCATAGCCTTCTACCAAAAGCAAAATGAGAAATGATAGGCACACTGGCTACTAGAGGCTGCAGCATGTCAATTCTGGTGGGGCACTTCTTCCTAACCATCCAAGCAGGAGAGCTTGCTTCTCTTCTAAAGAAAACAAACAGCTACTCCTTTGCAGGCCTGACTGCGCTGAGCAGGCCTCAAAATGGAACTGCCACAGTGTTTTGGTCATCATTGGATGTGGAGGCAGTGTCTGGATTACATGGATTCTCTCCTTGCCCTTTCAATGTCTTAGCATTCAGACCACATCTCTCAGGAAGCTCTCCCCTCTCCCCTGCAAGTTTGTTGCTTTCAAACAGCACTTAAAAATATCTGACCGTATATTCTGATATTTGATTCCAAATATATCATCATACTGGGGTGCTCTTTATGAACTTTCTCCAAAAGAAACAAATCTTTCTGAATAACTTTCAAACAAAGGTTTGCCCTCAGCAATTTGTAAACTATTGGGGGACCTGTCCTTGAAAGATACCCTCTTAGGTACAGAAAGGTGGGGTTTTAGACATGTGCTTTCTAGATACTTACAATGCTGAGTTTTAGGGTGTGGGTTTAGGTTTTAGGGCGTGAGTTAGGTGCGGAATAGGAGACGGGCTGGTGCCCACTTGTTTCGGCAGCCTGTGTACTAAAACCGATACAGATACTGAGAAGATTAGCATATGGCCCCTGTGCAAGGAAGATGTGAAAATTCCTGAAGCTTCCATCTCGAAACCAAACCAAACAAATGAAAAAGAGCTTGAGCAAATATCATTCTTTTTAAAAAGACTCACATAGGGGCGCCTGGGTGGCTCAGTTGGTTAAGCATCCAACTCTTGATTTCAGCTCAGGCCATGATCTCATGGTTGGGAGATCAAGGCCCACGTCGGGCTCCATGTTGACAGTGCAGAGCCTGGTTGGGATTCTCTCTCTCCTCTCTCACTGCCCCTCCCCTGTTCATGTGCTCTCTCTCTCTCTCTCAAAATAAATATTTCAAAAATTAAAAAAAAAACACACCGTGTGAGGGGGGTAGGATGGATAATATATGGGAACTCTCTGTACTGTCTCCTCAATTTCTCTGTAAATCTAAATCTGTTCTCAAAATAGTCTATTAATTAAAAATAAAAGGTACAGATTCTGGAATTGTAATAAAATTTGTGTTACCATGTGGTCCTAATCATTAGTCATCCAGGTAGTGGTGGTGGCTTGAAGGGGTTTACAAGCTATCGTGAAAAACACACCAGGAAACTTTCAATCCAGTGTGACAGGAAGAGGGGAAGGTCGTAGCAGGAGGCCTCGCATGAGCCAGAGCGGCCCTTCATCAGCATGACTGCAGCATGTTCACGTGACAGGCCATAGTTGGCTGACTGTGCTTGGTGCTCTCCAGAGATTAAAATATAACATACCTGTTCACTTAAAGTTATGCAGTTGATCAATCAAAGGAAACAACTGGTTAGAGAGAAAGAATTTTAATCAATGGGTTAAAAACATACGTGACCATGTAGAACATAATATATGTAAGACTAAATTCTGGCAAATACACGAATTGTTCTGTGTGGTTACACCTCCCCATGAGCCAACCTGATACTCACAGCCGGACCCTTCATTGCTAGAAAGCCTTGACACAAGACTTTTTAAACATAGCACACCCCCAGAATAGGTTTAAAATAGAATTGGAATAAGTTAAGAATAGCTCTTACCATTAATTTGCACATAATTTTAGGAGGAATATCTGTTGGTTAGAGTGAGGTATATCTGTGCTGTGGGTGCATGAGCACACACTTCAATTTCTGATAGAGGAAGCGCTTCTATATATCATAATAAAATTTCACTTTATGAAAAAATAATCTGATTCATGAGGTAGGAGTCCTGAGGGCACACACGCAATGTAACCACAGAGTGTAAGGTCAGTGCACCATGAGCGTACAACACAGCTCCCAATCACACAACTCCCCTGGTTACAAAATGCGTCTAGCCCCAACGTGCCGACGACATGCCGATGACGGCCAGGGCCCCCTTACGGGTACGTGTATACGTGCAAGGACGGGTACACCGTCATGGTGGCGCGGTCTCTCTTTGTGGCAGGATATCTGTTCCTGGACCAGTTTGGCTTCATGTCTGGAGCCGGCTCTTGGCTGGAGTTTGTGCTTCTCTTGGGAAAGCATGACACTGTGGATCTTGGCTTCTCTGTCTGTGCAAACAAGATAGAAAAGTTGAATCACTTGATGCTGCAATCTCTGAAGTTATAGTTAGGGCTGGGGTTGGTTTTATGAGGAGTTAGTGAGAAGGATTTGCATTTCCCCCCAAATGCCGAAGTACAGAGTCGTTGATGTCATTCCAGGGCAGACAGGAATCAAGCGTTTGCCTTAGTCCTTAAGAGGTCAAGGAAGGGTCCAAAGGCAATACTTTAATTGCCAAGTTCAAGTTCAACATCTACATTTCATAGGCTATCTAGAGACATCACACAAAGGGAAGAAGTCGGTCTGTCAAGGTGGGAGGCTGCCCCATTGTTTTCAGCTCCGCGGGTCTCTGCCCGCAAGCTAAACGCCACGTCTCTGTTAGAGGCACGCTCCGCCAGAAACTAAGAAAACGAAGGTAGAGGCCTGGATGGCCCTCACCCCCTACCCCGGGTTTAACTGAATCCCCGGTGACAGATTATTGCCCAACCAGCAGGTTTCAGCTGTGGGATGTGGTGTGAGCTGCCTGGAGACGCCCTGCAGCGAATGCTGAAGACGAGAGGGGACGGTTAGTGGCTCATCTGCCTGTTGGGACCGAATCCTCTTTGATTTGAATTTACCTGCGCCTCTCTTCCCACTCAGTCCCGGTTCTGTTAGGCCACGGGGGTGGGACTTTATCTTGCCGCCCCTCCCAGGGGGTGGTGGGCTTAAGGGAGCATTTAGATCTTACAGTCCTCAAGGGCCCTGCCCCACTTACACTCTCCATAAGATGCCGAAGGCTAAATGGGAGCGCCAACCTGAGAGTCCCAAACAGCTGCCCTGGGAAGACAGCAGGGACGCCGTCTTGGGAGAGCCCTCCACGCCCTCTCTCGCTCACTTACTCAGTGGTGCTCAATCTCGTTCACTCGGGGCACATGTGAGCAGCACCCGCCCTTGGGCGGCTTCCTAGCTGTTTCTCCACCTTTCCCCTCTTTCTCAGGAAAAAACACGCCAGTGCAAATGAGCAAGAGAGATGTTATTCAGGGATAAAGATCAACTCATTCTACCTTATTCCTTTTTTTTTTACCTTATTCCTTTTAAAAAGGAAACCATTCACAAACCTCGGTATTGAACGATCACTGGTAACACTGGACGGGAGGCACACCTCTCAGCTGATGGCTGCACCCCAGTTTGTTGCTAACATGTCCTGCCTGGGGTTGAGAACCGCTGCATTATTCGCTACTGCTGTTTTACATGAAACGCTGCCCTGGAGTTACAAAATAATAGCCGTCTAACAAATGTTGGTTGAAATAAAACTAAATTCTCCACGGCAAGCTTTGAGCTCTAGGGGGGATTCCTCCTGTCCTGCGGTGCCTCATGGGCTGTGCCCCCCGGTGGTCAGGGCAAACTGCACCTGAGAGGAACAAGCCCCACGAGGTGAGCTGTGCACCGTGGATCACGACCCCTCCAGATCACACAAGACACTTGAAAACCAAGTCAAGTTAATTGCTGGCATAGAGGTGTGTATATAAATTAGTGAAATACCTGAATTCTCTCTTTATTCTTAGTCAGAATCAAGGAGGTCATTTTTGATGGGTCCAGCAAGGTGCCTTTGTCTCTTCCATGTAACTGTGATTGAAATAGATAAGCACTTTCTCACTACGTTTCCCACTTGCACCAGTGTGATTATATAGAATATACACTGAGTGGTTTTTGAAACATTCTTTCTAACATTTATTTTTGAGAGAGAGAGAGAGTGTGTGTGTGTGAGCAGGGGAGGGGCAGAGGGAGACGGAGACACATAATCTGAAGCAGGCTCCAGGCTCCACATAGCAGAGAGCCCTACACGGGCCTTGAACCCATGACCACAAGATCATGACCTGAGCCAAAGTGGGACACTTAACTGAATGAGCCACCAGGCACCCTGAGTGGTTTTTTAAAACTTTTTAAAGTTTATTTATTTTGAGAGAATGCACCAGCTTGAGCCACAGAGGGGTAGAGAGAGAGTGAGAGAGAAAGAATCTCAAGCAGGCTCCATATTGTCAGCGTGGAGGCTGATGTGGGACTTGAACTCACGAACTGTGAGATCATGACCTAAGCTGAAATCCAGAATCAAGACGCTTAACTGACTGAGCCGCCCAGGCGCCCCACTGAGTCTTTTTCTTTTTTAAAGTTTATTTATTTTGAGAGAGAGAGAGCGCAAGCGCGCACAAGCAGGGAAGGGGCAGATAGAGCGGGAGAGAGGATCTTAAGCAGGCTCCACACTGTGGGCACAGAGCCCAATGCAGGACTCGAACCCACAAACCGTCAGATCATGACCTGAGCGGAAACCAAGAGTCAGATGTTCCACCAACTGAACCACCCTGGCGCCCCTCCATTTACTCACACATGTTAATTCATTACAATACTGTACACAGGGAGAGAGGCAAGACACAAATGAGTAATAATTCAAAGAAAAGAAGGAAACTAATTGTTTATGGAGTACCTACCGCATGCCAGGCATTTTACACAGTTTCACATCTACTTTTCTCAACACCACTGATGATGTAGAGATTATTACTCCAACATTTTAGATGCAGAAACTGAGTCCCAGGGTGGTGCAGTCACTCAGGGAAAATGATAGGCTGGAATCTGAACTCAAGACAGACTTGAAAGCTATGATCTTGTGCTGTCACACCAGATACCAAATGGCCCTCCCTGCTGAGCAGAGCAGCCTCTGCTGAAGTTCTTCAGTATGACCTTGTTATATCACTGTTAAACACAGGGCAGCACTGTGCAGGAAAAGTCTATTTTGCACCATCTACTAAGAACTGTATACTAACTACTATATCAAAACGTACTTATTTAAAACATTTTTAATGTTACTTTCTCTTGAGAGAGAGCGCCTGTGTGATCAAGGGAGGAGCAGAGAGAGAGGGAGAGAGAATGCCAAGCAGGTTCTGCATTGTCAGCACAGAGCCCCAAACAGGCCTCGATCTCGCCAATCATGAAATCAAGAGTCAGATGCTCAACTGACTGAGCCACCCAGGAGCCCCTTATTTTATTTTATTTTATTTTATTTTTTACTTTTTAAAAAGTTTATTATTTATTTTAAGTAATCCCTACACCCAACATGGGGCTTGAATTCATGGCCCTGAGATCAAGAGTTGCATGTTCTTCTGACCGAGTCAGGCAAGCACTCCACCAAAACTTGTTTTTATACATAAAAAACACAAGGATTTTCTAGTCACACAATACCAGAGTACTAAAAAATGATTGGGTGCCTTTCCTCTGTGCTCTTTCTGCATCCTACTCTGTGACATAATTTCCTGCTTCCTTGTTAAGATGCTCAGTAGACTCTAAGGTCCCTACGGCAGAGATGGCGTTTTGTTCAACGTTGCATTCCCAGCACACAGCAGAGCGTGTGGCATGTGGTGGTTACACAGTGCAATCTGTTGACTGTGGGATAACAGATGAAGCTGCCTGCTCTTACGCTCTGGGTAAAAAAAATCACAAAGCACCTACGTCTGTAGTCAGACTTCAGTAGTGGCTAATCCAAAACAGTGTCAATGTCCCTACTAATTTTAATGATCCCCCGCTCCTGGTGGCATTGACAGGGAAGGGAGACATAGACGGCTATTGTATTCTTCAGCCTATGGGAGAGATTGCTAATTGGAAAAATCAGAGAATTTGGAACAAAGAGTCAAAGAGGGAGCAGAATAGAGAGCTCAGAAATAAAGTCATGAATATACGGTGCATTAATTTCTTACCAAAGAGCCAAACACTTACAATGGGGAGAATTGGTCTCTTCAATAAATGGTATAGGAAAAACTAGATGTCCACATGCCAAAGAATGAAACCGTATGCCTATCTTGTACCATACACAAAAGTCAACTCAAAATGGATTAAAGAGTTAAACTTAAGGGGTGCCTGGGTGGCTCAGTCAGTTAAGCGTCTGACTTTAGCTCAGGTCATAATCTCACAGTTCGTGGGTTTGAGCCCTGCGTTGGTCTCTGTGCTGACAGCTCAGAGCCTAGAGCCTGTTTCAGATTCTGTGTCTCCCTCTCTCTCTGACCCTCCCCTGCTCACGCTGTCTCTCTTTCTCAGAAATAAAAAAAATTAAAAAAAAATCTTTTAATTAAAAAAGAGTTAAACTTAAGACTTGAAACCATCAAACTCCTAGAAGAAAACCGAGGAGGTAAGCCCCTTGACATTGGTCTTGGCAATGATATTTTGGATTTGATCCCCAAAGCAAAAATAAGCCAGTGGCACTACAGCAAACTAAAAAGCTTCTGCAAGGCAATGGAAATCACCCACAAAATCAGAAGGCCGGGGCACCTGGCCGGCTCAGTCAGTAGAGCGTGTGACGCTGGATCTCAGTGTTATGAGTTTAAGCCCCATATTGGGGGCAGAGACTATGTAAAAAAAAGTTTTTTAACCCAAAAAACAAAATTAGAAGGAAACCTATGGAATGAGAGAAAATATCTCTCAAATAGTGTTATTCAGTCTTTAAAAAGGAAGGAAATCCTACCGTCTGTGACAACATGGCTGAAACCAGAGGGCATCAGCTGAGCAAAATAAGCCAGACAGAGAAAGTCAAATACTGCCTGGTACCGCTTACGTGTGGAACCTAAAGTAAAAGGTCACACTCATAGAAACAGAGAGTAGAATGGTGGTTGCTGGGGATGGGGGGAGGGGGGAGAAGATGGTAAAAGAGTATAAACTTTCAGTTATTGAAGAAAAAAAAGTTAACTATGTGAGGTGGTGGGAACCCTCTCACAGTGTGTACATATACCAAATATCACATTGTATATTTTAAATATATTACCCCCAAAAAGTATTTTTTAATGTTTATTTATTTTGAGAGAGAGTGAGTGAGAGTACATGGGGAAGGGGCAGAGAGAGAGAGAAGGAGAAAATCCCAAGCAGGCTCCCTGCTATCAGCCTAGAGCCCCACTCGGGGCTCGATCTCATGAACTGTGAGTTCATGACCTGAGCCAAAATCAAGAGTCAGGCACTTAACCAAATGAGTCACCCAGGTACTCCATGTAGGAGTTAAAAGGTTTTTTTTTTTGTTTTTTTTTTTTAATGTTTTACCTATTCCTGAGAGAGAGAGAGACAGAGCATGCACAGGGGAGGATCAGAGAGAGAGGGAGACACAGAATCTGAAGCAGGCTCCAGGCTCTGAGCTAGCCATCAGCACAGAGTCCGACACGGGGCTTGAACCATGAAATCATGACTTGAGCCGAAGTCGGACGCTCAACTGACAGAGCCACCCAGCCGCCCCGGAGTTAAGTTTTGACACATTCTCCATGTAGGAGTTTAAAAAAAAAAAAGGTCAAACAAAACTACTACCTCATTCAACCTTGGTTTTTCATTTCTCATCACTGAAGAACTGGCATTCTCTGAATTTCTGAAAAAGGCAGGCTGTTTTTGCAGAGTAGAAGCAAACCCTGCCCTTTCCTGGAAGGACTGAGTGCAAAGAGAATATTTTTCAACTGATCCATTGCAATTAATCTACTCATAACTGACCCCATCCGCCCAACAGTAAAATTCACACACCGGAAAGCCTTTTCATCTTTAGGAAGCAGTGGCCTCTGGGAGAAGAGTGGGAAGGAGCCAGCCTGGACCAGGCCTGACGCCTCAGCCACACAGCAACCCCGGACCAGCTCCAGCCACCACTTCTCCAGGAGCCCCGTTTCTTCTGGAAATCCAGACATGGCCAAAATCCAGACCAAAGTGCCACGGCAGAGGGTAGTGCAGAGGCCGTGGTGGAAATCCGCACAGAGCCGTCCAGAGGACCCATGCAAGAGCTCTGAGATCAAAGCAGCTTCCCTGTGCCCCGCTCCCCATTCCCCTTCTGGCTGAGAGTGATGCTAACTGGGTCCTGCTCCCGCTGTGGAAAGCTCTTTACGCAGATCAGGCCGCGGAAAAGGGCAGCACAGCCTTCTTACCAGGGCATCTTCTGTTACCTTTAACTCCTGCATCAAATTATTTTTCTGATGCTGCTCATTTCGCTGTCTCCTAGTCTGAAGCGGCTTCTTTTTTTTCTTCTTAGACATCTTCTTCTTTTGATTCAACTATTCCAGAAAGCACAGAGAACCTAGTCACTGAGGATTCCGGAGGAAGGCCCACCTGCATGCCGCACTCTCTCACGCAACACTCAGGAGAGGAGGGCTCCCCCAGGATGTGCGCCCTCCCGGGGCTCAACTGCCGCTGGTTTGGAGGACACACAGTTCAGGTGCCTCGTTATCAGAGTCCACTCCCCATTTAACACCCTCGAATCCCGCCGTTACAGGTATGCTGCCCAAGGGACACCTATACTAATATCCTAACATCCATTTTACACATGAAACCAGAATACTTATGGCAACAATGTCGGGTACAGACAATGCTGATTATCAGGTGTGTAGTTAAAAGAGTCAGTTTGGCTGCTGCACAAGATGGCTTTGATAATGAAGCAAGTGAAGCCCAGGACTGACTTTCCAGGGACCTGTTGTGTAGTGAAGCCTATATCCATGTTGTTGCTGTAAACCCAGCTGAAAAAATGATAGGGTCCAGTCTGATTTGGCTGTCTCCACCTGCCATAGCCTTAATCTCACCCTATGATAGAATTATTTCTTCTTCTTCTTCTTTTTTTTTTTTTCTTTGAGAGAGAGAGTGAGAGGGGTAAAGGAGCAGAGGGGGAGACAGAGAATCTTAAATAGGCAGGCGCTAAGCTCAGCATGGAGCCTGACCCGGGGCTTAATCCCATGACCCCAGGATCATGACCCGGGCTGAAATCAAGAGTTAAAACGCTCAACTGACTGAGCCCCCCAGGAGCCCTGTATGATGGAAATATTTTTTAATGCAACTATGAAGTCATCTGCATAATGAACTGCAACAAATATATCATCTATGTGATAAGACTGTGAATGAGATGGGGCAAAGAAAATTTAATGTATGGAAGTATAAAAAACTATTTAAGACTATATGAATAAAGAAACACTTTTTGGGGGCACCTGGGTAGCTTAGTTGGTTGCACATCTGACTCCTGATTTTGGCTCAGGTTATGATCTTGCACTTCATGGGATTGAGCCCCGAGTCGAGGTCCATGTTGACAGTGCAGAGTCTGCTTGGGATTCTCTCCCTCCCCTTCTCTCTGCCCTTTCCCTGCTCATGTTCTTCCTCTCTCTTTCTCAAAATAAATAAACTTTTAAAAAAGTTTTTTTAAAGTATGGGTCATTTTTAACAACTTCTATCTCTTAAAATAGTTTTGTTTTTTTTTTGTCTTCTTAGGTAAACTCTATACCCAACATGGGGCTTGAACTCACAACCCCAAGATCAAGAGACAAACTCTAACTCTTAAGATGTTTTTCACTTTTAGTTAAACTTTCTAAAAAAATTTTATTAACTTTGTAATAACGGAGTCTTCACATTTCCCCCCTAGATTTTAAAAAGGAAAGTTACTAAAAACAAATAATTAGGGATGCTTGGGTAGGACATAGTTGGTTAAGCAACTGACTTTGGCTCAGGTCATGATCTCATGGTTTGTGTGTTCAAGCCCCACGTCCAGCTCTGTGCTGACATCTCAGAGCCTGGAGCCTGCTTCAGATTCTGTGTCTCTCTCTCTCTCTCTCTGCCCTTCTCTGACTTGCACTCTGTCTCTCTTTCTTTTTTTTGAAAAAAAGTTTATAAATAAATAAACAAACAGAAAGTTATAAAAATGAAAGACTCCAGGGCAGGGTAACTAGTTAGGATGCATTTGGTATATTTTCTGCAGATTTTAGGATAGTGGAAAATTCCATCAACTTAACCAGGAGGCTTATGCTTTCTGTAAGGTTGCTACTTCCTGAGTGGAAGGGTCTGTATTATCTTACCTCCTCTGCTATGTTCAGTAGGTGAACAGGGAGACCTTCTGAGAGGGAACTATCAGAACCACTGGTGCTGTTTCCAGAAGGAAAGAAGAAAGGGAGATGCTTTTACTAACGTCTAGGAAGTACAACATTTACCAGACCAGCAGCGTGGGATTAACACCCAGTCCACTATTTGCCCCCAGTGCCTGCATTTCGACGACTAGCAATTCTTTTTTTCTTTTTTTTTTTTTAATGTTTTATTTATTTCTGAGAGAGAGAGAGAGACAGCGTGAGCAGGGGAGGGTCAGAGAGAGAGGGAGACACAGAATCTGAAGCAGGCTCTGTGCTGACAGCTCAGAGCCTGATGCGGGGCTTGAACCCACGAACCGTGAGATCATGACCTGAGCTGAAGCTGGACGCTTAACTGACTGAGCCACCCAGGCGCCCCTCGACGACTAGCAATTCTTGACAAACATATTCATTCATTCATTCATTCTGAACACGCACTCTGTGCTAGGCAGTGAGTGCGTCGAGAGCAGAGATGAATGTGGCAGAGCCCCTGGCCCCAAGGAGTCTGTCATCCACATGGCAAAATAAGCACTGGCCAGGTGGGTAAAGCTGCCCGTGGCAGTGACTGTGGGAGACTCTGCGGCCCTAGAGATTACCAGAGGACTGTGATGTGTTTGAAAGCAGGGCTTGTTTCATTCATTCCTTTATTTTTAAATATTTTTTTAACATTTATTTATTTTTGAGAGAGAGGAAGACAGAGTACAAGCAGGGGAGGGACAGAGAGAGAGGGAGACTCAGAATCTGAAGCAGGCTCCAGGCTCTGAGCTGTCAGCACAGAGCCCGATGCAGGCTAGAGCTCACAAACCGTGAGATCATGACCTGAGCCGCAGTCAGATGTTTAACCGACTGAGTCACCCGGGTGCCCCTGTTTTATTCATTCCTGTCCAGCCAGGTCCAGATCGGAGAGCAAGGAACCTCCCAGGTTCTCTTTAAAACTGAGTTGAATATACACATAAACATATTTGATAACAAGGAATCTGTAGGTTAGAGACTGGGAGTATTACTTTTATTACCTCAATTCCTGCTTCAAAAGTTGTGGATGCAGGTCCAGACTGACCTGAAGTCTTCCCCCACAGAGGGCCCATTCCCCCTTCCTTCAAGGGCTAGCATGAATGAGGACTCAGATTCTGCATCCTTGCATCCTTCATCACGTCCATTGTTTAAGTGTCCCATTATACGTTCCCCTCTCTCCGGGGTGTGTGAGGCTACGAGCCAGAGCTGCGCTCTAGCACATGGCCTCCATGTAGAAAAAAGTGTCGTAGGCACAAAACTCAGATCTCCTGGGAAAAGCATTTCAAACCATTCTTTTGCTCAGGCCTTTCATCCTGTTCATACTCCCCCTCCCTCCCTTCAGCGCACAATGAGGAGCCCCACAGTAAGACGGTGGGAAGAAAGCTCTCTCTTCTCTGATCTAATTCTCAATTCCCTGTTCTCAAAAGGCTTTTCTAGTCTGAGCAATAGCCTTTGAGGTCACTGGATAATAGTCTCTGATGTCTCTTTTGGAGATAACTGAAAACTTCTAATCAACATTAATCTAAAACCATTAGATGCAGTATGCCACAGAAAATGTTGAAAACCGTCGATGTGCACACACAGGGCACACTCAGACTGGGCTTGGGCACTCGCAGTCTGCTTTTCTGGGTAATGGTGACAATGGATAGGTGGAGACCCGTGGAGGCCTGTGAATATTCCTATTCAGAGGCTGGCAAAATGTTTTGGATGATTCTTAACTAAAAGTATCAGAGGATCCCTGCTAAGCCAGCGAGGAAGCAGTCTCCCTGTTTTTGAGTGGATTCCCCCGGGCTCTTCACTGACAGGCTGACACGCAGGGGCATTTTGTTTTTGAGGCTGCAAGTGAAGAGTGGCTCATGCGGTGGTCCCGGGGAGCTAGGCCAAGAATTCTGGGAGAGTGGAAGAGGCAACATGGTGAATGGGGCACACTGCCTGCCCTCATGGTCTGACTTAAGGTTCCTCAAGATACAACTGGGAGACTCAGCCAGCAGAAATGCTTTCGGGCCCAGATGTCAACTCTATATCCGCATAGAGTAGGAGGGAGAGCCATCCCCTTTGACTGTCCACCACAGTCTACAGCGCAGCCTCTGGCAGAGAACTGTCATGTTCAGCCCAGAAGTCTTCTGACCGAGGGCAGCTGGGATGGGTATGAGGCACCTTGGCCAGTAAGCTGGTGTAGGTGTTCTTGCGCACCTGTGAGATACCTACCCACCCGGAGGCTTCCTACAATAACTGTAGAGATTATGAGGGTGGGGCTGAGACCTTACAAACTAAATTAATTCAACAAATATTTATTGAGCTCTCCCTAGGTGCCCGGTACTGTTCCAGGTGCATGAGATAGAGAAGTGAACAAAATAAAGATCTCTGACCTTGCGGAACCGACATCCAGTAAGAGGAAACAGAGAATATATAATAAAGATGTAAATGACTTAAGGTGGACAGAAGGTGATAAAATGCTATGGAAAAAAAAGAGTACCTCACGGGGGTAGAGAATAGTGGCAGGGGGCAAAGGCAGGGAAGCAAGTGACAGTATCAGAGTAATGAAGGTAGGCTACTTTGAAAACTTTGACATTTAAACAAAGACTTGAAGGAGGTGAAGGAATGAGCCATGTGGATATCTGTGGGAAGAGCATTCTAGGCAGCTGGGACTGCTAGTGCAAAGGCCCTGAGGCAGAAGAGGACCTGACAAGTCTGAAGAAGAGTGAGGAGGCCAGCGTAGCCATAGCGGTATGTGAAAGGGTGAGGGTGGAGGTTATAAGGTATCAGGTGGCTAGATCCTATAGCCTGTTGGCCATTGTAGGGTCCTGGACTTTTTACCTCATTTGCTAGATCCTCCCTGTCTCTGTGACCTGTGAGCTGTGGTATCCTGCTTTAGATGTGGCCCTCCTATTTACTCTATCTGCACATACTCCCTTGGGATCTCACCTAGTCTTAAAGTTTAATCATATCTAACCAGTGATGACTCTATCTGACCTCTCCACTGAACGCCGTACTCATATATTCAACTGCCTATTCAACATCTCCATTTAGATGCCTCCTAGACATCTCAGCCTGAACATGCCCAACACTAGCCTCCTGACCTTCACCACTCCCCTAACCTTCTCCACCACCTTAATCTTCCCCATCTCATTTGAAGGCGACTCCATCCAATCAATTATGGAGTCATTCTCTTTCTTTCATGCTCCATATCCCATCCATAAGAAAATCCTAATGTTTGAAACTTCAAAATATATCTAGAATCCAACCAACTCATACATCCCCCACCACTACAACTACTCACGTCTAGACCACCATCTGCATTTGCCTGTATTATTGTAAGAGCTTCCAAATGCATGCCTCTGCTTACACATTTCCTCTCTACAATCTATTTTCCACGTAGCAGCCAGGGTATTCCTACTGAAACTAAAACCCAAGTCAGAACATGACACTTCTCTACTTAAAACCTTCCAAAAGCTTTCCATCTCCCATGGAGTAAAAGACAAAGGCTTTATGACTGCCTAAAGGCCCTAGGCATACTGCCTGCCCACCTCCCTAACCTGAAAAGACACTGTCAAAGAGCAGGCTCCCAATACGTAGTTGCTGAAGAAATGAAATGTATTTAAGTGCGCTATGATTTTTTCAGTATTTTGCACCTTTGGCTCAAAACCAACAAAACAAGAGATTAAACAAAAACTATAAAAAAATAGAACTTGTTTGGTTTTTCCTTTTTTGTTTGTTTGAGTTGTTGTTGTTTTGAATTTATTTGGAGAGAGAGAGAGTGCACTCATGCACAGGAGGGCCAGAGAGAGAAAGAGAGAGAGGATCCCAAGCAGGCTCCCACGTGGTCAGCCTCAGCACGGAGCTCCAACCCAACAACTGCGAAATCATGACCTGAGCCGAAATCAAGAGCCGGCCATTTCGCTGGCCGAACCACTCAGGTGCCCCTTTCCTTGGTTTTTCTTTGAAATGAAGTTTGTTACCTGGATTCAATGTCAGACAAAGAGATGTCACTCCAACTTCCTTCTAAATCCATATCTTGTCCAAGTTCATTGAATTTCTTATGGATTTCTTGTTGTAAGAGCTCTTTAAGCTCTGCTAGACACTGCATGAACTGTAGACGTGAAAAAAAAGACATTTTTGATTTTCATTTATTTATGTATCAAATATTTATGAAGCATATGCAGAAAGGCACTTTATTTATTGCTGGGGACATAAAGATGAGTGAGCTGTAACCTCTGCTTCTAAGGAGATGTTAGCATATAAATTACATGAGCTGGAGTAAAAGTGTTTCTAGGGCAGAACATCAGTGAATTATGCTTTTGGTGCTTTCCCCTGGCTCAAGACAATGATAAACTTCTTAAACAATGCAAAGGTCTGATTTATTGTATTTTTTTGAATAGCAATGAAGAAAATATTAGAATGGGGTTCCTCAGATTTTGGCCTATGGCAGATGTGATTTAACAGGCCATGTTGTGGCTGATTTCTCCTTCACATATTTTTTATTAAAGGGGCACTTGGGTAGCTCAGTTGGTTAAGTGTCCAACTCTTGATTTCGGCTCAGGTCATGATCTCACAGTTTGTGAGTTTGAGCTCCACATCAGGCTCTGTGCGGACGGCCTGGAGCCTGGTGGGGATTCTCTCTTTCCCTCTGCCTCTCCCCCACTCATGTGCTCATGCGCTTTCTCTCTCTCTTACAATAAATAAATAAATATTTAAAATATACAAATAAATAAACTAAAAAACAAAAGAAGTAAGAAGAGGAAAAAACTGAGGACACAGAAAAGGGAGGAGGTACTAGGGAGGCCATGGACCAGGGGGCTGGTGGGTGCACAAAGGGCAGGGTTAGTTTCCGAGAAGGGGAAGGACTTCTGCTTTTCTGAAAAGCAAAGTGAGGGAGAGGTGTGCTGAAGGAGTGTCAGCATGAAGGCTTCTACTATCTTGGTGAGTTATGAGGTCTTACCATTTGTGGACAGTGTGCAGGCTGGGGGATTTCTTTTACTGATTATAAAAACTTCAGAATGATATTAAGAGGAAAATAAAGGCCACCTATAATCTCAGTGGGCTGACTTTGGACCCATGTGAAACTGATCACAGTAGCACCACCACATGTCTTGAAACCCCATTTTTACCTTGGTTCGGTCAGGATCACAGAAATCCAGAAGGGTGTCACAAACATGATAACCTAGAGACTTCAGATCCTCAGTAGTAAAGTGAGTATCTCTTTTATTGCCTGAAAAAAATCCATAAACATTTCTTATTAAATAATGAGCAAATGCAAATCTAATTTATGAATGGCTCCTTAAAAACACCAGCTCTGATTCTAAAATATTGTGCTTCTGAACAGGGTCTTTCTCCTTCTAGATCTGGTTTGGTTCAGCAGAATCTCTGACAATGAAAAACTTTCCAATCATGATGGCTATGGTTACTGAAGTTTTACTCTGTGGTAGGCACTATGCCAAGTGCTTTATGTGCATTAAGTGCTACCTATAATGCAGGTACTACTATTATTGCTGGTTTTTAAAAAATGAGGTTCAAAGAGTGAATCAAGTAATCATACAACTTAGAAATGGATCGGAAATCCAAACCCAGATCTGCCTGATTCCCTGCCAAGTATTATATTTGGGACTATACTGCCCCATCAAGTGTTAGATTTCACACTCATATTTAGGTTAGACAAATTTTGCATAAGGCACAGTTAAGAAAATCCTTTAGATCAATCATCTCCCCAACATTCAAAAGGACTTCATGTCCTCAAGGCTTTGCTTGGCTCCCCCTTGTCATGCTGACCTATGATCTACAAAAGAGAGCTTACTTACCCAGGGTGGACCCCCCAAAAGTAGATTCCATGGTGTAGCTGTTCAGGATTCCCATCCGCCACATTACAACTCGCCCCGTCCCTTCTTTGCACTTTTGGACCTTAAAATTACAACTATGAAAAGAGAACTAAAGAGAAACCCAAATCCTGTGTTAATCATAAACTGGCAAATATAAAATGCCAATGATTCATTAATAGGATACAAGAATGGTTTCCTTAGGGTCTATATATTATTTCCTAAGTATTTTCCATAAAATAGTAATTCTATTGTTCTATTACAGAGGAGAAAACGAGTTCTGTGGTCATGTTACTCAGGAGGATGAGGGGCTAACAAAATTACACAGGCTTCCTGTGCAGGACCTCTTTTTTATTTTGAGAGAGACAGAGAGAGCACGTGTGGGAGAAGGGCAGAGAGAAAGGGAGACAGAGGATTCCAAGCAGGCTCTGTGCTGCCAGCACAGAGACCATTGCAGGGCCCGAACCCACGAAACCACGAGATTATGACCTGAGCAGAAACCAAGACTCAGACGCCTAACCGACTGAGCCACGCAGGCACCCCCTCCCTGAGCATTCCACACATTATTGTAGACTGTGAGTCTCCCAAGGGGAGAAAGTATATTCTGCTCCTTATTGCCCAGGAAACCCTACCTTCCCTTCCCCACCTTTCCCGGGGACATTTTGCAGGACTAGGGTTTCCTGAACTCCAGTTTGGGAATGCTGGCTTACTTTGGCATTCAAGACACTAGCCGTGTCTCTAAGATTTATTTTCTACTCCTCCCCAACTCGAGCCCTTGGATCCAGTTGGGTTTATCCTCTATATATGATCTGGGTATGCCTCACCCCTATAATCTCTGCCTGGAACTGTCTTACTTCCTCATACTTAATGTTCTCAGCCTGGAGTTCAATATCCTCCATTGTCCTTCATGACCACCCCAACCCTCTCCTTATTTGGAGTCTGTAATGTACACTTGGCACCTACCTCAACTGATCCTGTCCTGCTGAGAATGCTTTACAGTTGGCAGGTATCTCACCACCTGGTGGATTTTAGGTAGAATCCAGGGCTCTACTGAGCAACCTCAGGCATTCCTGCCACGAAGACTGAAGGAGGCAGAATGGGCAAGACTGCAAGCCTGCCATCCCTCTTTAATTAGCGTAGCTCTGTTTTTAATTGGTTTAAATCCTGGGTTCTGGATGTCATTTATTTTTTTAAGTAAAAAAAACTTTTTTAATGTTTTTATTTTGAGAGAGACAGACAGACAGACAGAGCACAAATGGGGAAGGGAGGAGGGGGGGCAGAGAGGGAGACACAGAATCTGAAGCAGGCTCCAGCCTCTGAGCTGTCAGCACAGAGTCCGACATGGTGCTTGAACCCACGAACCCTGAGATCATCACCTGAGCCAAAGTCATACACTCAAGACTGAGTCACCCAGGCATCTCTAATTTTAAAAAAATATTTAGAGAGAGAAGGAGCAAGAGTGCAAGTGGGTGAATGGCAGGGGCGTGGGGGTGTGAGAGAGAATCCCGAGCAGACTCTGAACTGTCAGCATGTAGCCTAACATGGGGCTCAAACCCACAAACCCATGAGATCATGACCTGAGCCGAAATGAAGAGTCAGATGCCTAACCTACTGAGCCACCCAGGTACCCCTGGATGTCATTTAATTAAAAAGCAATTTTTTTTTTAAACAAGACACATATTTGGATGCTATTTTATTTAAAGAAAGAGATCCCTAGCAAACACAGACAGAAGATTTTTTAAGAGCAAAGAAAAAAGGAATGAAGGAAGAAAAAACTGGAGGGAGAAAGAAAAGCTTCCTCTTTCTTTTCAACATAAGAATAGCAGATATAAAACATTTGCCTTATATTTTTTTATAGGAGAAACTGTGCACTACCATTTAAAAATTTTTCTAAATCCTACCTAATTTCTTCTTCCTTTTTTTTTGATAAATGTTTATGTATTTGATGGGGCGCCTGGGTTCCTCAGTCAGTTAAGTGATCAGCTTCAGCTCAGGACATGATCTCCTGGTTAGTGAGTTCAAGGCCCAGATCAGGCTCTCAGCTGTCAGAGCAGAACCTGCTTCAGACCCTCTATCTCCTCACTCTGCCCTCCTCTGCTCCCTCTCTTTCTCTCAAAAATGAACAAGCATTTGTTAGAGAGCAAGAGAGCACATGTGAGTGTGAGAAGGCCAGAAAGACAAAGAATCCTAAGCAGGCTCCACGCTGTTAGTGCAGAGCCTGACACTGGGTTCAATCTCACAGTTCATGGGATCACGACCTGAGCCTAAATCAAGAGTTGAACATTTAACTGACTGAGCTACCTAGGCACCCCTAATTTCTTCTTTCTAATGAGATTATATTTTGTGGCTCTACTCACGATGCTGAAAACCAACTTCTAAGCCAATGCCTGTCAGAGCTGTTATTCAGCCAACTGTTAAAAAACTTTTAAGTTGTTTTTATTAGCCATTTACTATCTTACACTTACCTGTAGCCTTGTCTTACATGAACTTTTCTGTGGAGGCTCATATAATATTAATATTCTGTTTATCATTCAATCCCTTCTTCCACTGCCAACCACAGGAATAAAGAGGATAAGCCACCTACTGAGAGTTTGCACTTGTGCCTGGGCAAAGAAGCCAGACCAATTTTTAAAAATCATCTTTAATTGAGGGGCGCCTGAGTGGCTCAGCTGGTTGAGCATCTGGACTTCATGATCCCATAGGTTGTGGGTCTGAGCCCTGCGTGGGGCTCTGTGCTGACAGCTCAGGGCCCGGAGGCTCCTTCAGATTCTGTGTCTCCCCCTCTCCCTGCCTTCTCTCACTCCCACTCTGTCTGTGTCTCTGTCTCTTAAAAATAAACATTCAAAAATTTTTTTTAAATCATCTGTATTGAGATATAACTCACATACTGTAAAATTCACACATTTAAAGGACACAATTCAATGATGTAAGTATATTTACAGCTGTGCGGCCATCACCACTCTCTGTTTAGAATGTTTTCATTGCCACCAAAAAGAAACCCAGTACATATTAGCAGTCATGCCACCCTCCACCTCCTTACTGACTAATCACTAAATGACTTTCTGTCTCTACAGATTTGCCTCTTCTGAACATTTCATAGAATGGAATCACATAAAAATGCGGCCCTTTAGGTCTGGCTTCTTTCACGTAGCATGTTTTCCAAGTTCACCTATGTCTTAGCATATCAGTACCTCATGTTTTTATTGCCGAATAATATTCCATTGTGTGGATGTACTACATTTTATTTATCTGTTCTTTTGTGGATGTATACAGGGTAATTCTTAAAGCCACACCTTTCTAAATTCTTGAAGTCCCTTTCCAAAGAAGATGTACAATGGCCAATACATAAAAAGATCCTCAACACCACTCAGCATCAGGGAAATGCAAATCAAAACCGCAATGAGATATCATCTACCCTCATCAGAATAACTAGGATCAAAGACAAGAAATAAAAAGTGTGGGTGTAGATGTGGGGAAAAAGGAACTGTCATGCACTGTTGGTGGGAATGTAAATTGGTGCAGCCACTGTGGAAAACAGTATGAATGTTCCTCAGAAAGTTAAAAATAGAATTACCATATGATCCAGTAATTCCACTACTGGGTATTACGCAAAGAAAACAAAAACACTAATTCAAAAAAGATACATATGTGCCCATATGTTTATTGCACCCATATGTTTATATAACAACCCAAGTGTCCAATAATAGATGAATGGATAAAGAAGATGTGGTATACATACACAATGGAATATTACTCAGCCATAAAAAAGAATGAGATCTTGCCGTTTGCAACAACAAGGATGGACCTAAAGGGTATAATGCTATCTGAAATTGAGAAAGACAAGTACCATATGATTTCATTCATATGTGAAATTTAAAAAAACAAAACAAAGAAAAAAGAGACAAACAGAAAAGCAGAGTCTTAAGTACAGAGAACAAACTGGTGGTTGGCAGAGGGGATGGGGGATGGGTGACTAGATAAAAGGGATTAAGGGAACACTTATAATGAGCATTGAATAATGTATAGAACTGTTGATTATATTGTAAACCAAAACCAGAATAAACTCTTGAGGTCCAGGCTGCTGGGATTTACCCAAGATAATGAAAAGAGATGTAAAGTGGCAGGTCAAATACTACATATAGGACGCAGTGAATTCCTTTCCTCCTTAGTCAACGGATGGAAAATTACCTTACGTGCTTACCTTATCTGGTGCATTTTTGCTTAACATTAAAGGAAAGACTCGCTCATGAAGCCAGTACTTGCGATCATTGTTATTACAGCCATACAAGAAGATATTATTCTTACGGCTGTGGCCGTGGAAATCACAGTACATGAGAACCTCCCTTTCTTCAAGAAGTCTATTGAGGAGAGCAAACAAAAGATTCAGTGGACATCCAGATGCATGAAAATAATCAAGGATCTTTTATAGTCTCTTCCTTAAGTATGTCTGTTGCTACCTTCCCCCTGAAGAAAAAGCTAACCCCTTCAAAGGACTCTATCCCCATCCTCAGCCACTGCTGTAAACATGCCACCAGCACTCCTCACCCCTGCCAGTCAGAGGGACTTGAAATGAATATGCCCTAAGGTGGAAAGGGGTGATGGGTAGGCCTTATATAGTTGACAAGGAAGTGGAGGAAATCTAGTGAAAGAAAGCTACCCGCCTCCCTCCCCCTCTCCCCCCTCCCCCGGGGGGGCAAACCTGGGGAAAGAGAAAGAGAAGTGGAGAGGCTGTAAGTGTAGGGATGAAAAAGAGAAACAAAGAAAGCCTGGGTCCCTGACTTTCCAGGGCTGGTTCCTATAAGGCTCAGGTCCTCTTTGTCTCCTCTTCACCCAGGATACCTCCTCAGTCTTCCATCATGGTCACCTTCTCGATGATGATAATGATAGGATGAAGAAAATGACAGTAATGCCACACACTTACAATGTGTGAGGCACTGTGCTAAACAGATGACAAGGATTCTCTCATCTAATCCTCATAGTAACAGCCCGAATCGGGTAAGATTACCCTCTTCTACAGAGGAGAAAGCTGAAGCGCAGAGAGGTACAATCAAGTCCAAGGTCACAGAACCAGCCAGTTGTAAGCCACGTCACAAAGCCAGGCCTGTCTTGACTCCCAAGCACACGCGCTTAGCCATCTTGCCTGACAGCCCACCACTCCTCCCACCCTTTCACACAGATAAGGTTAGAAGGTGTGTGTATTCACACATCTTATACACTGTAGTTTCATTTCCTTTAACGTGGGTACTATTACATCATAGCCTTCAATTGCTTTCACATAGGCTTGGAAAATATTAACTGATTTATTTATTATTCTTTCTTTATGAGATGAAATATAAAAGATAATAAGGAACTCAGATTCTGGAACCCAAGAGCCTGGATTCAGATTATCTACCCTTTCGCTTATTAGCTCTATGACCTTGGGCAAGTGACTTGACTTTCCTGGGCCTTAGTTTCCTCACCAGGTACATAATGGGATATTGTTTGTGCCTACCTCAGGGGGTTAAGGTGAAGATTCCATGGGTCATATGTGTAAAGCCCTGAGAATACTGCCTGTCCCCTATACACAAACACTGCCTAATAGTTAGGTACTGTTATTTTTATTCCACAGGCCTCCTGACAAAGACCTATGAACTTCTCTGACTTCTGACCTCTCTATCCCATTGTTTCACTTATAAGTGAAATAACCCCTGGCAGAAATGTTGCATGTTCAGTTTCACCCCAGAGACAGGACATGACTTGAAAGTTTGAAACTAAACAAACTCATGTGACTGCAAAGAGAATGGTAGACTCTCTCCCAAGCTGGATCTGATTCCTACCATCAAGAAGAGCCCTCGCATCCATCAGACAGCGCTCACAGCATTTGGAGGCAGATCAACAGATAATGGGGCTCACCTTTTGATCATGTTCCTGGTGTACCAGATGCAAGGGAAAGACTCCTTCAGAATGGTTTTATAATGTCTGTTCAAGTCCCTTCCAGCCAAGGAACACCGGTAATTCCCCACGATCACGCCATCTGGATTTAACATAGGAACCACTTTGAAGACAAAGATATCTCTGAGGAGCTGGGCATCTGGAGAGTTGCTGAGGATGAAGTCCAAAAAGCCTTTCATGACCCAGGAGCCATTACTTTCTCCAGGGTGGACCCTGGCACTCAAGACCACAGCTTTCTTTGCAGCTGCCTCTTGAGGGGTCCGGGATGGGTTGGTGATGGTGAGCAGGTAGACGATATTTCCTGCTAGGCTCCTGCATAAAGTTCGGAGTTTGCAGAACTGAGACTGGACAGGGTTGTTTGCCACTGACAGCAGGTAGCACTGCAAATCAGTGTACGTATATGGGTAGAAGTGAGCGAAGAAGCAAGTGTCCTGGTCATGTGGGAACCGAACGGTCCACGTGAGACAGTAAAAGTGCTGCTGCCCATCGTCCCTGTTGTTCTTATAGTACCTGATTTCATTTCCTTCCCTCCTCCAGCCGATGTTGTGGGTGTTGGCATCCAATTGGGAGTACATGAGTGGCTTCATCCCTATAGTATAAAGGCTCTTGGGTTTTAGCAAGTTGACAATGGTGAAGCGGTAAGTGGCATCTTTTCTAGTGTTCTGCACTCGAAAATAAAACCACTGAGTGTGTTTGTTTGTGTATAGGTCAGTTCGCAAGGTGAGTTCATACTCATAGGTATCTCTGTAATGGAGAAAATAGAATAATATCTCTGTAACCCACATCCCCCCTCAAAAAACAAACCTAAAAAACTGTTTTCCCCTGGCAAAAATAGATCTTATTTCAACAGGAAAGCCTGCTACATCAAACATTAATTTTCTAATGTACCTAATTCCCCAACTCATACATTAGGCTGGAAGAAATCTGGGTCAACAAAATTTATTTGGGGTATTTTGGAGTTCTGTGAGCTTTGTAGTAGTTTTCTGGAATGTCCAGTAGCAGTTTCTAACCACTTCAATACATTTCTCAGAACCACACTGAGCGGTAGTGAAGCCAGAGCCCTGTGTTGGCTGTTAGCTACATCCTGGACGTGACCACAGTGGAGGGGACCTGTCATCCTCAGACGTTATTTTACCTTTGATTATCGACTGTTTGACGATGAGGGGGCATCTCTGAAATGCATTCACCTTACTGAAAAGTAGCAGAAGAGGAAATACAAATGCTAAATCCTGAAAAGCTGCCCCCCCTACAGGCATAATGCAAGAAAGACACATTATGATAGGGTGTCATTCTCTCCTCGTCTGATGTATATTTCAACTTGGGGAAACAGTCACTGTCATACACTGCTGTTGGGAACGGAAATCATGTTGGAGGATAATCTGGCAAAAAAACAGCAATACTTAAAACCCTTTGGCCTACCAATTACATTTCTAGAATTTATCCCATAAAATCACAAATATTTAAAAATATAAATCCTGGGGCACCTGGGTGGCTCAGTCGGTTAAGCGTCCAACTTCAGCTCAAGTCTTGATCTCACAGTTTGTGGGTTTGAGCCCCGCATTGGGTTCTGTGAAGGCAGCTCAGAGCCTGGAGCCTGTTTCAGATTCTGGGTCTCCCTCTCTCTCTGCCCCTCCCCCACTCATGCTCTGTCTCTGTTTCAAAAATAAAAATATAAATCCCTTTGCAACTATGTAGATGGAACTAGAGGGTATTATGCTAAGTGAAACGAGTCAGAGAAAGACAAATATCATATGACTTCACTCATATGAGGACCTTAAGATACAAAACAGATGAACATAAGCAAAGGGAAGCAAAAATAATATAAAAACAGAGAGGGGAACAAAATGTTAGAGACTCTTAAACACAGAGAACAAATTGAAGGTTGCTGGAGGGGTTGTGGGAGGGGGATGGGCTAAATGGGTAAGGAGCATTGAGGAAGACACTTATCGGGATGAGCACTGGGTGTTATACTTAGGAGATGAATCACTGAACTCTATCCCTGAAATCATTGCTGCACTAGATGCTAACTAACTAGGATGTAAATTAAAATTTTAATTAATTAATTAAAAATATTTATATATATAAAAATTTTAAAGTGCCTAAGGGTATTAATTCTGCTAATTCATTAAACAAAAAATAGTAAATACTTTCATTTCTATCAGTTGGGGCAGGGTACATAAGATATGGAACCCACACAATAGAATAATATGAATTATTAAAAGTAAGGAGATAAATCTGCAGTACTGCCATAGGAAAAATATAAAGCTTATTATATGGAAAAAAGCAATTTGCAAAACAGTATGTATACTATTATCCTATTTTTAAAAATAAAATAATTTCTGTATATTATACATACACATTAAGAGGGGGGAAAATACTGTATATATACCAAACTGTTAGCAGTTGCTGCATCTAGGAGATATGATTACAGAACTTCAATTTTTTTTTAATCTTTATTTTATTTTTGAGAGAGAGAGACAGAGTGTGAGTGGGGGTGGAGCAGAGTGAGAGGGGGACATAGAATCCAAAGCAGGCTCCAGGCTCTGAGTTGTCAGCACAGAGCCCAACACGGGGCTCGAACTCACAGACTGTGAGATCATGACCTGAGCTGAAATCAAGACTCAGTTGTTCAATTGACTGAGCTACTCAGGTGCCCCAGAACTTCAATTTTTTATGTTACATATTTTTATTAATACAGATTTTTTCTTAAGTTTTACTTATTTAAGTTGTCTCAACACCCAACATGCAGCTTGAACTCACAACCCTGAGATCACACTCTTCTGACTAAGCCAGCCAGGCGTCCCTATTAATACAAATTAATTAATACTAATTTCTTTCACAGGCAGAAAAAATGATGTAGATACATTTTTACTCTGGGGGAAAATGAGTCACAATTACTCCATTTTTCTTCATCCTCATAACCATTTCTCACTACTTCTCCCTTTGTCAAAAACACTCCTAATTCCTAGTATAACTCCTGACGACGTGAGCCAGTCACTCTGGCGATCACCCCTTTGGGAAATTCCTCTGTTACTCACACTCTGACAGCTTTCTGCAGATTCCCGCTCTCAAACCTTGACTCAAACAGGAGAGTATTGTCCTCGGGCCCTTGCAGCTTGACAGCAAGCTCCCTGATGATCCCTCGCTTGCCTCCCACTCTGGAGCTGGTGAAATAGGAGCCTTCGGTGGGCACTGCGGAGGACACAGACCTATTTAGAGCAGGTTCTGCTTAGAACCCATTCATCCAGCCAATATTCATTCACAGAGCTCCTCTGTGTGTTTAACGCTGTTCCAGGTTAACAATAAGGACTATTCAGATTTTCAACAGTCCTTGCTGAGACTTTTCATTTTAAACACTGTATTTCTGGGGTGCCTGGGTGGCTCAGTCGGTTGAGCATCCGACTTTGGGCTCAGGTCATGATCTCACCGTTCGTGGGTTCGAGCCCCACGTCAGGCTCTGTGCTGACAGCTCAGAGCCTGGAGCCTGCTTTGGATTCTGTGTCTCCATCTCCCTCTGACCCTCCCCTGCTCATGCTGTCTCTCTCTCTCAGAAATAAATTTAATAACATTTAAAAAAAATAAACACTGTATTTCTTTGAAGACATTTAAAGTGGTATAGAGCACTTCCTTTTGCTGCATGGCTGCCCCTGGCATCTCAGATACTGTCTGTACCCCGGTAAGCCCAAATCTGAAAGAATGTTGACAAACAAATGAGATTCTACATAGAATATCTGAAAACATTGACAATCATTATTCTAAAAAAAAAAAAAATAGTATCTATTTTTTAAATTTCTTTAAAATTGTATTAATTTATTCTGAGCAAGACAGTGACAGCAGAAGCAGGGGAGGAGCAGGAAGAGGGAGAGAGAGAATCCCAAGGAAGCTCTGCACTGCCAGCACAGAGCCTAATGTGGGGCTCGAACCCACAAAACCATTAGATCATGAACTGACCTGAAACTGAGGGCCAGTTGTTCAACCGAGTGACCCAGGCATCCTGCATCTATTAATTAAAAAAAAAAAAAAAAAAAAAAAAGAAAAAGGAGGGGGGCCTGGGTGGGCTCGTTAAGCGTCTGAGTTTGGCCCAAGGTCTGATCTCATAGTTTGGGAGTTCGAGACCCAAGTCGGGCACTGTGCTGACAGCTCAGAGCCTGGAGCCCACTTCAGAGTCTGTGTCTCCTTCTCTCNATGTGGGGCTCGAACCCACAAAACCATTAGATCATGAACTGACCTGAAACTGAGGGCCAGTTGTTCAACCGAGTGACCCAGGCATCCTGCATCTATAAATAAAAAAAAAAAAAAAAAAAAAAAAAGATAATGGAGGGGTGCCTGGGTGGCTCAGTTAAGCGTCTGAGTTTGGCCCAGGTCATGATCTCATAGTTTGGGAGTTCGAGACCCAAGTCGGGCACTGTGCTGACAGCTCAGAGCCTGGAGCCCACTTCAGAGTCTGTGTCTCCTTCTCTCTCTGCCCCTCCCCCACTCACGCTCTTTCTCTCAAAAATAAATAAACAAACAAAAGAAGGTAAGTAGGTTTGCAATTTTTCAGACAAACACGGTGAGGCTGCCATATGAAATGTCTGATTTTTGCAGTTACTTTTGCAAAACTATTTCAAAACTATTTGCAAAACTTCATAGTTTTCCCAAGGACTTTGTACCACCATATTCTTATCATTGTGTCTAGAAGAACCTATTTTGTCATCTTTTGTTGATTTTTCTCTTCAACTGTTGTTAACTGCTAAAAAAATGTGTAGATTCTCATTTGTCAGTGGCTTTACAAGTGATTCTTTAATATTCATCAACTTCATAAAACCCTGCCTCTCTTGTAAGGATGATTTCACTTTGCAACTGATTTTTACTGTATTTGCATTATATTGTCAGATATTAACAATATCTGCCAAGTGGCAAGTGACTGTTATCAACAAAGACGCTGACCACAGGGCAGGACAGAGGGAGCATTAAACAGTAATATGCTGGCATGTGGGGACTGATTGTATTGTCATCGTTAGTAAATCTATCTGTTCATGTTATGATGACTTTTGCTTTGATAGGCAACTCTGTCACTGTGGAGACTCAGGTAATATATATTTGAACAATAAATGAGAGCAAAAGAAAAAAACAAGCATATAAAGACGTGAGTAGAGGAAGAAAACAAGCACAGAGGAGGCAGGAGAAGCCAGCAAGAGTACACGTAACCCAACTAAAAGCTGGGGACCCATGTGGTTCGGTCTCTTCACAGAAGCACAAAGTATAGCCCAGCAACCAGATGTAATTAGCATAGGAATTCTGATATTTTTTGGACTCTCTCAGGTAAACATTAAAGACGATCCAATTCATAGCCCACAGTAACATTTCTCAAAAACTAAAACCTCTTTCCTTGTTTCCCCCCAATATTCTCATAGCAGGTAAACTGACAAACTCCCCAATTCTCCCTGGATTCCCATCTTCTTAGTTTTCTGTTTCTTCATTCCTCCAACAGGGTGGGCTCAACTCTCCTTGGTGAATCAAGAGGACAAGAAGATCAAGAGCACTGCCACAACTGTGTGTTAACAGGACAATAAGGAAAATTCAAAAAGCTGCCCTCAGGAGAGTGAGCTCTCAGCTCTAGGGGTTCCTCCTAGGCAAAAACATCTCTCAATAGAACAGATAAAGCAACTGGATTTGTGGTCATGGGGTTTATTGAAAATGACTACCACCGGGTCAACAAGAGGTAAAACAGACTTTTAATACCCAAAACTTTCCAGGCACCTGACAGGCTCAGTTGGTTGAACAAGCAACTCTTGCTCTCAGGGTTGTGAAATTCAAGCCCCACTTTGGGTACAGACGCTACTTAAAAATGAAATCCTTTTTTTAATTTTTTTTTATTTTTTTAAATCTTTTTTTTTAATAGTTTATTTATTTTTGAGACAGAGAGAGACAGAGCATGAGGGGCAGAGAGAGAGGAAGACACAGAATCTGAAACAGGCTCCAGGCTCTGAGTTGTCAGCACAGAGCCTGATGTGGGGCTCGAACCCATGATCCATGAGATCTGACCTGAGCCGAGGTTGGGCGCTTAATCAACTGAGCCACCCAGGCGCCCCGAAATCCCTTTTTTTTTTAAATGTTTATTTATATTTGAGAGTGAGAGAAAGACAGTGTGTGAGGTGGGGAAGGGGCAGAGAGAAACAGAGACGGAAACTGAGGAGGCTCCAGGCTCTGAGTTGTCAGCACAGAGCCCGATGCGGGGCTCAAACTCACAAACTGTGAGATCATGACCTGAGCCGATGTTGGACACTTAACCAACTGAGCCACCTAGAGGCCCCCATTTAGAAATGAAATCTTAAAAAAAAAAAAACAAAGAAACAAAAACAAAAACCAAAGACTCTCTTGAGGTTCCAGGAGCAGTACATTCTCCATTATTTATATCTGAAGTTACCCACTTAAGACCTTATACTTTGTCTCCCAGACGCCTCCTCAGGCTCTCCATAAGGTGGAGGTAGGTAGACTGTGAGCTGCTTCACTCTGTTCACTTCCCTGCATGTAGCCTTCCCCAACAGAGTATTACTAACACAAATACTCATAATCAAGGCAACTGGGAGCAGAGCATATGCAAGTTCATGGAAGTTGGGTCACTTGCTAGAATCGGCTCATTTCATTTTTCTAGTTGTGGAAATGTAAACACTGCAGTCCCTGCCTCCTAGTTCTGGTTCTTTCTCTAGAAGCCTCCCCTGATTTCACTGACTTAACACATTTATTTCTACTAACTAAACTGCATATATGTTCCTCCTCCAATAAAATTGATTTCCTTTCTGATCATTACTATATAACAAATATTGATTTTCAAATTGTGAGAATATTTTTCTTGCTTTCTATTTCTTGAATACAGCATTTCCCAATCTCAGAGAACCCTTTTTTTTTTTAGAAGATAGGGTTTGTTTGTTTGTTTGTTTTTAATTTTTTTTTTTATGTTTTACTTATTTCTAGGAGAGAGAGAGACAGCGTGAGCAGGGGAGGATCAGAGAGAGAGGGAGACACAGACTCTGAAACAGGCTCCAGGCTCTGAGCTGGCAGTCAGCACAGAGCCCGACGCGGGGCTCGAACCCACGAACCGCGAGATCATGACCTAAGCGAAAGTCGGACGCTTAACCGACTAAGCCACCCAGGCGCCCCTGTTTGTTTGTTTTTTTAAATATTTAGTTAGTTTTGAGAGAGAGAACATGAGCAGGGGAGGGGCAGAGAGAGAGGGGGAGAGACAGAATCTGAAGCAGGCTCCAGGCTCTGAGCTGTCAGCACACAGCCTGATGCCGGGCTCGAACTCATGAATGGTGAGATCATGACCTGAGCCGAAGTCAGATGCTTAACTGACTGAGCCACCCAGGTGCCCCTCAGAGAACACTTTTTAAAAATTTCCAGGGGTTGGGGTGCCTGGGTGGCTCAGTTGGTTAAGTGTCCGACTTTGGCTCAGGTCATGATCTCACAGATAGTGAGTTTGAGCCCTGTGTCGGGCTCTGTGCTGACAGCTCAGAGCCTGGAGCCTGCTTCAGATTCTGTGTCTCCCTCTCTCTCTGCCCCTCCCTGCTCACACTCTTTCTCTCTCTCAAAAATAAACATAAAATTTTTTTTTTCAAAAAGTTCTCATGGCAGCTGTATGGTTCAGTCAGTTAAGCGTCTGGCTTTGGCTCAGGTCATGATCTCACGGTTCATGGGTTCGAGCCCCACATTGAGCTGCATGCTGGCAGTGCAGAGCCTGCCTGCAATTCTCTCTCTTCCTTTCTCTCTTCTCCTCCCCTGCTTGTCTCTCTCTCTCTCTCTCTCAAAATAAATAAACTTGTAAAAAAAAAGTTCTAATTAGCTCTGGTACCTCTGTGTACAATAAGCATCAGATGATTTTTGGTAACGACAAAGGATGCCCTTATTGGAAACTTCTCTACCTTGCTATGTCCCTCCCTAATACTAACTTTACATTTAGATATTACAAATTCACAACTTACTTCCTTGTCCTTGGGAGGGTTCCTATTAACTTTTCTTGGCTCATTTCTCTTGAATATTGTATCTCCTTTCCTTTTTTTTTTTTTTAAAGTAAACTCTACCCCTAATGTGGGGCTTGAACTCATAACCTTGAGATCAAGAGTCGCATGCTCTAGTGTCCTCTATCAACTGAACTAGCAAGGTGCCCTTATCTCCTGTCTTAAATGTTTCTATTACCACCTGCTCCACATCCTACCCATCACTTGTCTTTCTTTTAGCTGTTTTAGCGCGTGTGAGGTCGATCCATCCTTTCCATAAATACCCTTTTTCAAGCAGAGGAATTCTCTTCTATTCCTAGTTTTCTGAATGTTCTTATGCTTTTTCTACATCAGTTGAGAGGACTGTGTTCTTCCCTTTGTTCTAATGTGGGGTGTCACATTGGTGTGTGGTTTTTAGCTTGAACCACCCTTGCATTCCTGGCACAAATCCTCCTTGGTCATGTTGTATAATCCTTTAATATGCTGTTGGAATTGGTCTGTTGATATTTGGTTGAGGATTTTTGCATTTATATTCTTTTTTTTTTTTAAAGTTAATAGATTATTTTCTTTATTTAAAGATCTTTTTCTTCCCTCCTCTTTTCTTGATTTTATCTCATCTTTCATTTACAAGATGAGAAGATTTTTAAGACTGCATGCAGAAAAAATAGCAGTGCATTTTTAACTTTACACTAAGTAACTGCTTAATAAATGATTGCTGCTGATACACTTACTGGAGCCCAGTAAGTACTATGGAAGGAAGGTGAAGAGGGAAGGAGAGAACGTGGAGTGCCTTATGTCTCCATGATTCTAGAACATTAGAAGCCACAGTGAATTAGGAAGATTTTGAAGGCAACCTGCAATCATTGCACTGATGATGAAAAGATTCAAGGGTCTTTGGCCTCCATCAGCAAGGAAACATTTTTACCCTAAAGATGATTGCTAGGAATCCTCATTTTTATTTTATCTTATTTATTTTTTTAAGGATCCTCATTTTTAGAATACTCATTATCTAAGTCTCCACAGTTATGAGACTGAGTAGAAAAAAAAATCATCAAAACATTACATTTATTTTCTTACAGAATATGGCTTTCCTGTGATGTCTTTGTCTAACTTTGAATATTGGCTTCATAAATAGTTGGAAATGTTTCCTCCTGCTATTGTTTACAGAGCTGATGAAGGATTAGTACTATTTCATCTTTAAATGTTTGATACAATTCAAACAAACCCTGTCAAGCCATCTGTCAAGCAAGGAATTTCTTTGCGTAAAGATTTTTAATTAGTAATTCAGTTTCTTTGTTTTACTCTATTCAGACTTTTAAAATTTCTTCCTGAGTCAGTTGTGTCTAACAATTTTTCTTGTTTATCTATGTTGTTTAATTTTTTGGCATTAAGTCATTCTTTTTGTGTGTATGTTTCCTCTTCTTTTTTCGTGGCTGGTCTAGCTAAAGTTTTGTCAGTTTTTTTTTTTTTTAAATTATTTTTTTTAATGTTTTATTTATTTCTAGGGGAGAGAGAGAGAGACAGCGTGAGCAGGGGAGGGTCAGGGAGAGAGGGAGTCACAGATTGAAACAGGCTCCAGGCTCTGAGCCAGCAGTCAGCACAGAGCCCGACGCGGGGCTCGAACCCACGAACCGCGAGATCATGACCTAAGCGAAAGTCGGACACTTAACCGACTAAGCCACCCAGGCGCCCCAAAGTTTTGTCAGTTTTGTTCAGGTTTCCAAAGAACCAATTTTTGGTTTGATTTTCCACATTATTTTCCTGTTTTCTTTTTCACTGATTTCCATCCTTATCTTTACTTTTTTTTTTCATTTTTTAAATGTTTATTTATTTTTGAGAGCAAGAGAGACAGCGCAGCAGGGGAGGTGCCAAGAGAGAGGGAGACACAGAATCTGAAACAGGCTCCAGGCTCTGAGCTGTCAGCACAGAGTCTAATGCGGGCCTCGAACCCATGAACTGCGAGATCATGACCTGAGCCAAAGTCGGATACTTAACTGAGTCACTCAGGCGCCCCCATCTTTATTATATCCTTCCTTCTGGTTGCTCTGGATTTAGTTTGTGCTTATTATTCTCATTTATTAATGTGAAAGCTTAGGTAATTAATTGGAGATATTTCCTCCTTTCAAATATAGGCATCTAAAGCCATAAGTTTACCTTTTAGTACTTTAACTGCATCCCATAAATTTTGATATGTTGTTTTATTTTTATTCAGTTCAAATTTTTGTCTCTTATGATTTCTTTAACCCATGGGTTACTTAGAAATGTGCTGTGTAGGGGACCTGGGTGGTTCAGCTGGTTGAGTGTCCTACTTCGGCTCACTTCATAATTTCGCAGTCCATGAGTTCGAGCCCTGCATCGGGCTCTGTGCTGACAGCTCAGAGTCTGAAGCCTGCTTCAGATTCTGTGGCTCCATATCTCTCTGCCCCTCCCCTACTTGTACTCTGTCTCTGTCTCTCTCAAAAATAAATAAATGTTAAAAAAAAAAAAAAAGAAATGTGGTGTTTAATTTCTGAATATTTGTATATCTCTCAAATTTCTTTCTTTTTTGTTTTTCTTTCTTAAGTAGGCTCCATGCCCAGTGACGAGCCCAACACAGGGCTTGAACTCACGATCCCAAGATCAAGACCTGTGCTGAGATCAACAGTCAGATGCTTAACCAACTGAGCCAGGTGCCCCTCAAAAATATTTTCTAGGGGTGCCTGGGTGGCTCAGTCAGTTAAGTATCTAACTCTTGATTTTGGCTCAAGTCATAATCTCGTAGTGGTGGGATTGAGCCCCGTGTCAGGCACCGTGTTGAGTGTGGAGCCTGCTTGGGATTCTCTCTCTCCCTCTTTGCCCTTCCCCTGCTCGCAGTGGTGCGCGCGCTCTTTCTCTCTCTCTCTCTCTCTCTCAAAATAAACATTAAAAAACAGAGAGGCACCTGGGTGGCTCAGTCGGTTAAGCGTCCGACTTCGGCTCAGGTCATAATATCACGGTTTGAGGGTTCGAGCCCCGCCTGGGGCTCTTTGCTGACAGCTAGCTGGAGCCTGCTTCAGATTCTGTGTCTCCCTCTGACCCTCTGACCCTCTGTGTCTGTGTCTGTGACACAGACCCTCTGTGTTTCCCTCTGACTCTCCCCTGCTCATGCTGTCTCTCTTTCTCTCTCAGAAATAAATAAAACATTAAAAAATTTTTAAAAAAAGAGAGAGAGATGGATTCTACCTGGGGGAAGCCTGCAAATGAATGGAAATTAATTAAACCGCACAGTAAATGAGTCATATACACATACTACAATGTACTCACTAAAACACACAGATGGAGAAAAGAAGAGCAAGTTCCCCCAAATATCCAATATCTGATTTTTAGGAAGGGAAATGATATGGGAGAACCTCTAAAATGGGCTTAGACCTATTAAGAAAAAGGTACTGTTATTTTAAAAAAACAACAGAAAATTTCAATCTATTGGCCATTAATATCAGGGCTCCTCTTCAGGTTGGTCTGGAAGAACAGTTTATTTAGCACTAAACTATAGATTGTTAACAGCAACTGTTATTATAGATGATGCTTTTATTATAATTTTATCATGATTATCACCGACTATTCAGTGTGAATACAGCGTGAGCAATACCTGAATCTAATTGAAAGACAACTGTGCCTTTTTCTTCTCCTACAATTTCTGGTAACTTTTCATTTCCTGTAGGTTGATAGAAATATTCTGGGTGAGGTGGAACCCATTCTGAAAGACATTAAAAACATACAAAATAAGAAATAATACAAAAGGTGCTTTATCCAGAACTAATATAAGTCATAATAGTTATTATTCAAGTGGCTAGTTTGGTTGAATCAAACCAAATTCTCATCGTAAGTTTCCAGTTTGTTTGTAAATTAATTGTCTTGCTTCTTTCCATAAAGACTATGAGGAAATTTTTAACAAAAAGCATCTACAACAAAAATATAAACTTTAAATAGAAGACTTCAAACTAAGCCAGAAAGGTGAATATAGTTGACCTATCATTCCTCTGACAACTCTTCAAAATTTGGCCCTGAGCTTCTTTCTCTTTTGAAATTATTTTTAAGATTGTATTTTTAAGTTATCTCTACACCAAACATGGGGCTCAAACTTACAACCCTGATATAAAGAGTCACATACTCTAGGGTGCCTGGGTGGCTCAGTCAGTTAAGTGTCCGACTTTGACTCAGGTCATGATCTCATGGTTCGTGAGTCTGAGCCCCGCGTCGGGCTCTGTGCTGACAGCTCAGAGCTTGGAGCCTGTTTCAGATTCTGTGTCCCCTTCTCTCTCTGCCCCTCCCCTGCTCACACTCTTCCTGTCAAAAATAAATAAACATTAAAAAAAAAAAAAAAAGAGGGGTGCCTGGGTGGCTTAGTCGGTTAAGCATCCGACTTTCACTTAGGTCATGATCTCGCGGTTCGTGGGTTCGAGCCCCGCGTCAGGCTCTGTGCTGACTGCCAGCTCAGAGCCTGGAGCCTGTTTCAGAGTCTNAAAAAAAAAAAAAAAGAGTCGCATACTCTACTAAGCCACCCAGCTGCCCCAAACTTCTTTTTAAAGGCAGGAAAGTATCATCGGCTATGTACTTTTTATTACTATAGAGGAACAAGTGTATCATTTATTTCAGAAGAAACAAAGCTTTTTCATTAACACTCAATTCTAAAAGATTTCTCATATGTGACCTGGGCTACTCCCAGTATCATTTTAAGTACAGTGGCCACTGGTGAAAGCCAACATCACATAAAGACACAACTGAAATTCAACAATACATTAAAAGGATCATATACATTGATCGAGTGATATTTATTCAAAGGATCCAAGGATGGTTCAACATCTGCAAATTAGTTAATGTGATAACGCCACATTAACAAAAGGAAGGATACGAATCATACAATCATCTTGATGGATGCAGAAAAATCATCTGGCAAAATTCAACATCCATTTATGACAAAAACTCAGCACGGTGGGTATAGAGGGAGCCTCAACATAATAAAGGCCATATATGACGAGTCCACAGCTAAAACCATACTCAAATGTGAAAAGATGAAAGCTTTTCTTCTAAGATCAGGAACAAGGCAAAGATGCTGACTCCTGCCATTTTTACTCAACATCGTATTGAAAGTCCTTGCTGGAGCAATCAGGCAAGAAAAATAAAAAGGCATCCAAACTGGAAAGGAAGAAGTAAAACTGTCAAACTGTTACTATTTGCAGATGACGTGATACTGTACATAAAAGACACTAAAGGGACACCTGAGTGGCTTAGCTGGTGAAGCGTCTCACTCTTGATTTTGGTTCAGGTCATGATCTTAGGGTCGTGAGATTGAGCCCTGCATCAAGCTCTGTGCTGAGTGTGGAGTCTGCTTAAGATTCTCTCTCTCCCTCTCCCTCTCCTTCTGTCTCTCTCAAAAACTCCCTCAAATACTAATACTTTTTGACTTCATCAAAAAACTGTTGGAACTATGGGGCACCTGGGTGGCTCAGTCAGTTGCGGGGCCGATTTTGGCTCAGGTCATGATCTCAAGGTTTGTGGGTTTGAGCCCTGTATCGAGCTCTGTGCTGACAGCTAGCTTAGAGCCTGGTGCCTGTTTCAGATTCTGTGTCTCCCTCTCTCTCTGACCCTCCCCTTCTCTGTCTCTCTCTCTCTCTCAGAAATAAATAAAATGTTAAAAAAATTTTTTTTAAGTAACTGTTGGAACTAATAAATTCAGTAAAGATACAAGATACAAAATCAATATAATCAATACAAAAATATGTTGCATTTTTTTAATAGTTTTTTCATTTTTGAGACAGAGACAGAACATGAGCAAGGGAGGGGCAGAGAGAGAGGGAGACACAGCTTCGGAAGCAGGCTCCAGGTTCCGAGCTGTCAGCACAGAGCCCGATGCGGGACTCAAACCCATGAACTGCAAGATTATGACTGAAGCTGAAGCCGGACGCTTAACTAACTGAGCCACCCAGGCGTCCCATATTGCATGTTTATACACTAGTAATGAACTATCAGAAAAAAATTTAAGAAAATAATCCTATTTACAATTGTATCAAAAAGAGTAAAATACTTAGTAATAAATTTAACCGAGGAAGTGAAAGACCTGTATATTCAAAACTGTAATACATTAATGAAAGAAATAAGACACAAATACATTAAAAGATATTCCATGCTCGTGGATTAGAAGAATTAATATTTTTTAAATGTCCATACTACCCAAATCAATAAACAGATTCAATGCAGTCACTATAAAAACTCTAATGGCATTTTTCACAGAAATGGAATAAATAATCCTAAAATTTCTATGGAACCATAAAGACTCTGAGTAGCCAAAGCAATATTTTTTATTATTTTTTTAATGTTTTATTTATTTTTGAGAGAGAGAGAGAGACAGCAGGAGCAGGGGAGGGTCAGAGAGAGAGGGAGACACAGAATCCAAAGACAGGCTCCAGGCTCTGAGCTGTCATCACAGAGCCCAACAACGGGGTTCAAACCCACGAACTGCGAGATCATGACCTGAGCCGAAGTCAGACGCTCAACCTACTGAGCCACCCAGGCGCTCCAAGACTTTGAGTAGCCAAAGCAATCTTTGATAGACGTAGGCATCCCAGCCATTAGCAAAGTCTCCACTTCAATGCGACCCAGTCCTGAAACCCTCATATAATGAATGCTGAAGATTGTATCTGCACCAAGAGCAAACAAATGACCAGCAATCCCACAAAACTAGTCTCCACCATTCCCACAAAAACACTCCAACAAACCCAAAATACAATTAAAAACAGTCAAACCTGGGGTGCCTGGGGGACTCAGTCATTATGCATCTATCTGACTTTTGGCTCAGGTCACCCTCCCAGCGTTCATGAGTTCGATTCCCACATCAGGTGCGCTCAAGTCCCACTTCATGTGAGCACAAGCCCTGCTTCAGGTGAGTACAAATCCCACTTCGAATGAGCCCTGCTTCTCTCTCTCTCTCTCTCTCTCTCCCCCCCTCTCTCCCTGCCCCTTCTGGGATTCTCTCTGTCTCTCTGCCCTTGTTCACTTGCGCCCTTTGTCTCTCTCTCTTGAACAAAAAAAAAAAAAGAAAAAGAAAACACAGTCAAAACTGGGGCGCCTGTATGGCTTGGTCAGCTAAGTGTCTGTCTGACTCTTGATCTCAGCTCAGGTCTTGATCTTCAGGGTCATGAGTTCAAGAGCTGCACTGGGCTGCACACTGGGTGTAAAGCCTACTTTAAAAAACACCAACAAGAAAATCTAACAACAACAAAACAACAGTAAAGACTATGTTCTGGTATATATAGTGTTCATCAGCTATACCAAGGCTCGTAAAAATACAACTCCTAAAACTCCAGCAGATTAATACTGAGGCAGATTTAAGTACTGATATATTTTGGCCTCTAGAAAGCTATCCGTCCATTGCAATAAAGCCTGAAGCATTTGAGCTTACACATTAGTGCAACTTTTGTACTTTGACCAGTGTATATCCGTCGGCCAGGGCTTAGTCATTTCAGGATGAGCTACCAGATGTTGAGTCTGTCCTGCTGTGTGCCCCAGCCTGCTGGCCTTCCTAGGTTTTCATAATAACGTCTGTCAGGACAGCAGGACCACGACACAGAAGTCACATTACCAATATGATGAAGGTCTTCCTTGATGACCTCACATTCTATCGGCCACCTCGGAGCCTGCAGCAGCCCGCCACTCGAGAAGAAGGCAAAGAGATCTCGGGGTTCTCGAAGACATGGGTTGACTTTGCCAAAATCATCGTGAAGAAGCTGCCTGCTCTTAAGTGGTGAACGAAGCATAAGGGTATCTGCAGAGAGGAAGGGAGGGAGTGAACAGCTTTCTTTTCCTCCCTGGGGACTTTACTGATCAACTGTGACAACTAAGTAACTTGAAGCAATGTATTAAAATAAGAGCACAGGTGCACAATCCTATGAGAGATGCCTCCTTCACGAAGGAGATTTAGTCCAGCATCAACATTATGAAAAGTTACATTAAAATCTTGCGTAGTCTACTAAATATTTAAATGTAAAGCTTTAGCGTAAGTTAGAAGAAGAAAATTTTTTGTTTTTGAAATCAAATTCTGTCATATGATTTTTGCTTAGAGAGAGGCAAAAGAGGAAACTTTCATTTCACCCGTTAGCATTTTAGAGAAAAGTACATAAGACTTTATTAACGACACTAGTAACTATTAACTAATTTGTAGAAATAATCTACAAATTAACTTTCAAATTCAAAATATAATGGTTGGTAGGACAGAGAAAGTAATGAAGAGGAGTGAGTGGGGGCAGGAGAGAAAGATGAGCTCTTGGGAAAAAGAATAAGAGAGGAGGAAAAGAGGCTCCCAGGACAGAGAAAAAGAAGGGAAATGAGAGGAGGAAGGCAAAGAAAGGAAAGGAGAGGGGGAAGGAAAGGCCAAGAGCCCACGGGTGTGGTGAGTGCCGGATCCGGAGGGGAGAGCAGTGAGTGAAGACAGGTCTCCAGGAAGCAGCAGCGAGAGTTTTCGGGCCTGGCAGGACATGGGATACCTCTGCTCACAGCTTCTGTCTGACTGCGCACGAGTGACGGTACACAGGCGGGCCCTGGAAAGAGGAAGGAGGTGGCATGGTCTGTCTTAGGGATCTGTGACTCTCTTTTCTGCCCTTCCCCTACCCCTTTCCATCCCCCACCCCCATCTAGGGCCCCATTTTTCTTCCTTTTTTTCCTTTTTTTTTTTTCCTCTAAAATTTTTTCTTTTTAATTTCAGGGCCCTGTTTTTTCTGTCTTTTAATGTTTTCCCTAGTTTAATTAGGGGAGGGAGGCCACAGACATTTGGAAAGATGGTGAAGCTGCTCAGTGCCACATCAAGAAATGTAAACCAGTATGGGGCGCCTGGGTGGCTCAGTAGGTTAACTGTCCAGCTTCGGCTCAGGTCATGATCTCACGGTTCGTGGGTTTGAGCCCCGCATCGGGCTCTGTGCTGACTGTCAGCTCAGAGCCTGGAGCCTATTTCAGAGTCTGTGTCTCCCTCTCTCTCTCACCCTCCCCTGCTCATGCTGTCTCTCTCTCTCTCTCTCTTTCCTAGAAATAAATAAAAATATTTAAAAAAAAAAAAAAAAGAAATGTAAACCAGGATGACAAGGAGACACCACTTTCTTACCTGACAGAAAAACAATTTATGTGCTTTCACAATCATTCTGGCACAGGTGTTAACTAAGCAAGTACTCTCAGAACCTGCTGGCAAGTGGGCAAATCAGTGCAAACTTTCTGGAAAGCAGTTTAGCAGTTTATCTACTAAGATTTAAAATACAGATACCCTTGAGCCAGCAATCCCATTGCTAAGAATTTACTTCATAGATATTCTCACGAAAGTTCAACAAGATACATATATGGGGCTCCTGGGTGGCTCAGTAGGGTAAATGCCCGATTCAGTTTGGCTCAGGTCATGAACTCATGCTTCGTGGGTTCAAGCCCCATGTCGGGCTCCGTGCTGATGGTGTGGAGGCTGCTTGGGATTCTCCCTCTTTCCTTTTCTCTCTGCCCCTCCCCTGCTCGCTGTCTTTGTCTCTCTCCCAAAATTAATAAATCAACTTAAAAAAAAAAGTTACACATACTAAGATGCTCACTGCGGCAATGTTCAAATAACAAAATGTGGAAACAATGAAAGCATCCATCAAAAGGGAAGTTAAAATAATTATGACATATTAATGAGGTGAAATACTGTAGGTGCCCTTAAAAAGATGAGGTAAAATTGTGTGTGTGTGTGTGTGCGTGTGTGTTCATTTGAAAAGGCTCTATAAGGTGTATTATTAAACAAACAACAAAATCAAAGTAGAGTATTATAGTACTGTATATAGTATCTCCTGTGAGCAATTAAAAAGACAAGAATAGGGGTGCCTGAGTGGCTCAGTCTGTTAAGCGTCTGACTTCAGCTCAGGTCATGATCTCAAAGTCTGTGAGTTCAAGCCCCGTGTCGGGCTCTGTGCTGACAGCTCAGAGCCTGGAGCCTGCTTCGGATTCTGTCTCCCTCTCTCATTCTGTCCCTCCCCCGCGTGTGCTCTGTCTCTCTCTCTCAAAAATAAACAAACATTAAAAAAAAAAAAGAATATCGGGGCGCCTGGGTGGCTTAGTCGGTTGAGCGTCCGACTTTCGCTTAGGTCATGATCTCTCGGTTCGTGGGTTCGAGCCCCGCGTCGGGCTCTGTGCTGACTGCCAGCTCAGAGCCTGGAGCCTGTTTCGGAGTCTGTGTCTCCCTCTCTCTCTGACCCTCCCCTGCTCATGCTGTCTCTCCCTCTCTCTCTCTCCTAAAAATAAATAAAAAAAAAAAAAAAAAAAGAATATACAGATACATGAGGATATATGAAAAGAATCAAAACAACAGTGGCTTTATCAGGAGTGGGGCACGGAGGGCTTTTAGTTTTCCTTTTCTGCTTTTTTCCTACCATTTGAATTTTCTTTTTTTTAAATTTTTTATATAGTTTATTTTTGAGACAGAGAGAAACAGAGCATGAGCGGGGGAGGGGCAGAGAGAGCAGGAGACACGGAATCCGAAACAAACTCCAGGCTCTGAGCTGCCAGAACAGAACCTGATTCGGGGCTCAAACTCACGAACTGCGAGATCATGACCTGAGCCAAAGTCAGATGCTTAACCGACTGAGCCACCCAGGCGCCCCTACCATTTGAATTTTCTAACCTTTACATATATTCCTTTTCTTTTTTCTTTTTAATTTATTTAATTTTTAAATGTTTATTTATTTTTGAGAGAGAGAGAGAGAGCAACCAAGCATGGGCGGGGGGTGGGCAGAGTGAGAGAGAGAGAGAGAGAGAGAGAGAGAGAGAGAGAGACAGAATCCAAAGCAGGCTCCAGGCTCTGAGCTGTCTGCATAGAGCCCGACGTGGGGCTCAAACTCACAAGCCGAGCCGTGAGATCATGACCTGAACCTAAGTTAGACGCTTAACAGACTGAGCCACCCAGGTGCCACTTTTTTTTTTTTTGTAAATAAGCAGATGGTAACCCATTCCTTTTTCCCTTTGTTCTTTTCTGGTTAAAAAACCCAACAGCATATGAGGCATAGGAGCACATGTACCCCAATGTTCATAGCAGCACTCTCCACAATAGCTAAAACATGGAAAGAGCCTGAGTGTCCATCAACAGACGAATGGATCAAGAAGACGTGGTTTATCGATACCATGGAATACTACATGGCAATGAGAAACAATGAAATCTGGCCACGTGTAGCGACATGGATGGACCTTGAGGGTGTGATGCTGAGCGAAATAAGTCAGGCAGAGAAGGACAAATATCTTATGTTTGCACGTATAGGAGGATTAGGAGGAACTTAACGGAGGAACAAGGGGGAGAAGAAGGGGGAAATGGTGAGGGAAAGGGAGAGAGGCAAACCATGAGAGACTCTTGAATGCTGACAAAAACTGACGACTGATGGATGTGGGGGGAGTGGAGGGATGGGCATGGAGGAGGGCACTTTGGGGATGAGCACTGGGTGTTATGTGGAAACTAATTTGACAATAAACTATTTAAAAAAAAAAAAAACACCCAACAGCATAAAAATGTTTTGCGACAAAGACGGTGGAAAAAGATCTTCACTCCAATGATCAAAACGGGAAAAAAGGTCTGGAGTCTGGCTGCCCTGAAGATCATTTTTACTTAATACCACAGAGATCCTCAATTTACTACAAGGATCCTGCATTTACAGCTGCCTGGTGCTGTGACGCTACCCCTGCTGTGAACAAAGCGGCCGGCAGCAGGGAGGCCCAGATGAGCCTATGGTAGAAGGAGGCTTCGCAAGTCAACCCCACACGTTCCTATTACCAATCACACTCTCAACGGCATTCACATCTGCTGCCTCTACCAGCTGACTTTGTATTTCATGTTTTTTACTGTATCCAGCCTGACCATCGTTTCTTATGAATGTTCTCTTGAGTGTCAGTTAAATGGGGCAGGAGGAAACTGAAGGGTGTGGGGCGATCTGCTGGCTCCAGAGCCATCCCACCCAGATGAGTCTCCTTTGCTCAACCCCTGCCTTTCTACTCCCCAGCAGGAGCCCTGGGACACAGAATGGAAGAGCCCTCAGGGCACCGGGGTCTGCGCAAACATATATCTGAAAATGGAAGTGCTGCCATCAAGGGTTACACACTGTACTAAATCTCCCAGGTATTGTCAAATTGCCTCCCTAAGATAGTCTACCTACTGGGGCGCCTGGGTGGCTTAGTTGGTTAAGCGTCCGACTTTCGCTCGGGTCATGATCTCGCGGTTCATGGGTTCGAGCCCCGCGTCTCGGGCTCTGTGCTGACTGCCAGCTCAGAGCCTGGAGCCTGTTTCAGTCTGTGACTCCCTCTCTCTCTGACCCTCCCCTGCTCATGCTGTCTCTTTCTCTCCTAGAAATAAATAAAACATTTAAAAAATTAAAAAAAAAAAAAAGTCTACCTACTCACATCCCTAACAGCAGTGTAGGCATGTTCCCTCATACCCTGACCTATATATACCAGGCGTCATAAAAATAAGGTTTTTTGCCCAAATCCCATAATTAAAAAAAAAAAACTGTGCCTGGACTTGTTGATCTGTATCTTTAATTGGAGGTGAAACTGAGCATCTTTTCACAAGCTTATCGACTGCGTTTGTTTTTAGGAAAGGCTTGCTCATGTCTTTCGCCCATTTTTCTATTTGGTCATCTTTTACATAATGATTTGTAAGAACTGTTATGTGAAGGACTGTAATCCTTCGAAATGTTTGTCGCAAACTTTTTTTTTCAGTTTGTTATTTTGCTTTCTTCATGGTATTTTATGGCTTTTGGGTCTTGTGTCATTCAAAGGTTTTTAAGTAGAAAAAGGACACAATCAAATTTGCATATAAAAAAGAATAATGCTGTGTGGAAAATGGATTGAAAGGGGTAAGCATGAAACAAGAGAAGAATTCAGGAAACCAAATATTGGGGCTGTTTCAATAGTGAGAGATGATGGTAGCTTGAACTAGGATCAGGGGAGGATGTGGGGAAAAGAAAAAGTGAACTGACGTTTGGTTGGATATGTACTGAGGGAGATATTCAACTGCATACCTGCCCTTAGGTTCCAGAAGGAACCTGTAAAATCCTTGTGAAAACTTATTTTTGCTTAAGCTAGCTGAAATTGGTTTTCACCACTCTTTTATTTTAATTTTTTCTAATGTTTATTTATTTTTGAGAGAGAGATAGTGAGAAAGAGAGAGGCCATGAATAGGGGTGGGACAGAGAGAGGGAGACATAGAATCTGAAGCAGACTCCAGGCTCAGCTGTCAGCACAGAGCCTGACCTGGGGCTAGAACCCATGAACTGTGAGATCATGATCTGAGCCAAAGTCAGAAGGCTCAACTAACTTGAGCCACCCAGGCACCCTCTGGTTTCCACAACTCTTATGCAAGGTGCCTTAGCAAATACATCCATCAAAACTGTGTAAAAATCAATGTGCTACTCTTGACCAAAGAGTCTTAACAAATTTTCCAACATTTTGAAGAAAAAGATAATCCCGAAGGTATAGTATTTTAATTTAAAACCTATACTCCAGGGGCGCCTGGGTGACCCAGTCAGTTAAGTGTCCAACTTTGGCTCAGGTCATGAGCTCACAGTCTGTGGGTTTGAACCCCGCGTCAGGCTCTGTACTGACAGCTCAGAGCCTGGAGCCTGCTTCAGATTCTGTGTCTCCTTCTCTCTCTGTCCCTCCCCTACTCGCTCTCTGTCTCTGTCTCTCAAAATAAAATAAAGACATGAAAAAATAAAATAAAATAAAACATTACCTTTCTGTAATGCCAGTATTGTTAAAAAAACAAACAAACAAACAAAAAACCTATACTCCAAAGTGGATCTAAACAGAACATTTTTGAGCGATGTCAGAAACAGTGGCTGAGGCTGCTTCTCTGGCTTCTCTCGAGTTCAGCCTTATTCTCCCAAATACCTGAAAGAGTTGCTCAAGACAGTAAGCTTTCTGGGGTCCACATGCAGTGATTATTACTCACATAGAAGCTTCTCCTTTTGCAGAGGGTCTGGTATCATATCCTCTCTTTCTCCAAAAGAGCCACTCAACAGGTATCGAGGATTATTCTTCCAATCGTGCTGGTGCGTAGCTGAGCTTGGTAAACTACCTCTCTGAGCTATGAATAGACAATCAAAGGTGTTGGAAGACTAGTTCATCACTTGTAACATCCAGGTTAATACCAAAACCACTACTACTACCCAAACTGCCACTACTTCTGTCACCAGCCATCACCCACTGCAGGCTTTTACAATGAATACGTCCCATGTTCCAAAGAGCTTTCATATTCTGATTTACGTGAGCTAAGCACCATTTTCTCCATTTTACACTGAGGAGAGACCTGAGAAGCAGCATGGTACAATGGAAAGAGAAAGGTGCCCAAAGCTGCTTTGTCTTGAGGATTCGGTTGAATCTGGGTAACTGGAAATTCAGTTTTCAACAAATTATCACTTTATTATTATTTTTAAAATGTTTATTCATTTTTGAGAGAGAGAGAGAGAGAGAGAGAGAGAGAGAGAGAGAGAGCAAGCAGGGAGGGAGACACATAAGAGAGGGGCAGGCTCCAGGCTCCGAGCTGTCAGCACAGAGCCTGACGCAGGGTTCGAACCCACGAACTGTGAGATCATGACCTGAGCCAGTCAGACAGAAGCCACCCAGGTGCCTCACAAATTATCACTTTAGAAATGAAACAATAGGGGCAACTGGGTGGCTCAGTTGGTTGGGTGTCCGACTTCGGCTCAGGTCATGATCTCACAGTTCGTGGGTTCGAGCCCCATGTCAGGCTCTGTGCTGGCAGCTCAGAGCCTGGAGCCTGTTTCAGATTCTGTGTCTCCCTCTCTCTCTGCCCCTCCACTGCCTATGATCTGTTTCTTTCTGTCTCTCAAAAATAAATAAATGTTAAAAAATTTGAAAAAGAATGAAACGGTTAATAAGAAAGTTTAACAAGGTTGATAGAAATAGGGGCGCCTGGGTGGCTTAGTCGGTTAAGCGTCCGACTTTCGCTTGGGTCATGATCTCGCGGTTCGTGGGTTCGAGCCCCGCTTCGGGCTCTGTGCTGACTGCCAGCTCAGAGCCTGGAGCCTGTTTCAGTCTGTGACTCCCTCTCTCTCTGACCCTCCCCTGCTCATGCTGTCTCTATCTCTCTCCTAGAAATAAATAAAACATTAAAAAAAAAAAATAAAACATTAAAAAAAAAAAAATTAAAAAAAAAAACAAAAACAAGGTTGATAGAAATAAAATCAATATTGAAACTTAGGAAGAGTCAAAATTTTTAAAGATACCATTTATGGTAGCCTATCAATATGAAGTTCCGTGATGAAATTATAAATCTTTATTAGGAGGGGCACCTGGGTGGCTCAGTCGGCTGGGCATCGGGCTTCGGCTCAGGTCATGATCTCACAGTTTGTGGGTTCGAGCCCCGCGTCGGTCTCTGTGCTGACAGCCAGCTCAGAGCCTGGAGCCTGTCTTCAGATTCTGTGTCTCCCTTTCTCTCTGACCCTCCCCTGCTCATGCTGGTCTATCTCTCTCTCTCAAAAATAAATAAAAAACATTTAAAAAAATAATAAATAAATAAATCTTTATTGGGAGACATTAAACAAGACCTATGTAGATGAAGAAATGGAGTACATTCATAGACTGCAGAACCAGTATTAGAAAATTCTCATTTCTTCTGAAATTTGATCTATAGATTCAACACAATGGAAAAGGCAAGAATAGCCAAGAGACTGAAGAACAAGATGGAGGACATGTCTTTCCAGATTATCAAGGCTATTTAAATACCATATGGTATAATTAAGAAAGGGTGGTGGTACTGGCCCAAGGATAGACAGACCCTTTTAATTTTTCTGAGAGAGAGAGAGAGACAGCATGAGCAGAGGAGGATCAGAGAGAGAGGGAGACACAGAATCTGAAGCAGGCTCCAGGCTCTGAGCTAGCTGTCAGCACAGAGCCCGACGCGGGGCTCGAACCCACAAACCGTGAGATCATGACCTGAGCCCAAGTCGGACGCTTAACTGACTGAGCCCCCCAGGTGCCCCGACAGACCCTTGTATACACACCCAAAAGAGGTGACATGGAGCAATGGAGAAGATGAAGGAAGTGCTTTTCACTTCCTTCATCTTTCCCTCATGGTGCCAAAACAATACATCATCAGTTTATCCAAGTGTAACTCTCCCAGTTAATCACACCATTTAGTCTATGAAGGAAGGAAAGGTGATGTTAGGTAAGAATGAGATATTACCTTTAAAGTAGCCATAGTATTGAAGATGATGGTACATAAAGTCTTCATAGGGATCAGGAAGAGTCTGTGAAAGGAAAAGCCATCTCAATCAGGAAAGTCCTTTCAAGTAATACTGAACTCTTAACAAAAGGCACACAAGGGGTGCCTGGGTGGCTCAGCTGGTTAAGCGTTCGGCTCAGGTCATGTTCGGCTGAGGTCATGATCACACGGTTGGTGGGTTTGAGCCCCGCATCGGGCTCTGTGCTGACAGCTAGCTCAGATCCTGGAGCCTGCTTCAGATTCTGTATTTCCCTCTCTCTCTGACGCTCCCCTGCTCACGCTGTCTCTCTCTCTCTCTCTCTCTCTCAGGAAATAAATAAAACATTTTATTTATTTTTCTAATATTTTTTATTTATTCCTAGGAGAGAGAGAGACAGCATGAGCAGGGGAGGGTCAGAGAGAGAGGGAGTCACAGACTGAAACAGGCTCCAGGCTCTGAGCTGGCAGTCAGCACAGAGCCCGACGCGGGGCTCGAACCCACGAAACGCGAGATCATGACCTGAGCGAAAGTCGGACGCTTAACCGACTAAGCCACCCAGGCGCCCCATAAATAAAACATTTTTAAAAATTAAAAAAACAGTGCTCGCTTCGGCAGCACATATACTAAAAATTAAAAAAACAAAAACAAAAGGAACACAAGAGTTGTTTGTTGCAAAAGGACTGTATACATGAGGGCTTCCGTAAACAAACCAAGTGAAAGACATGCTTCGTGCAAATGTTTCTATCTTGGGGATCAAGATCTCCTGCCAGAAAAAGGTGCCACCAGAATATAACTTCTGATCTAGTAGTATTGGATTTCTGTGGCGTTCCTGGAGAGGGGAGTGTACCGACCTGCTTTACCTCTGTTTCCAATGCTGGGAACATGTTACTTCTGCATGGTATGGTGAGGACAAGTCAGTGACACCGGCATCCAGCCACAACCCCTGCCCAATATCCAAAAGGGCAGCTGATTACACAGAAGCTAGAAAACCAGAACAGGACAACTGAAGAAAAACCTGCCGATATTCTCCGCACCCTCCTCCACCTGCGCGGCTCTCACGCGAACTTCAGGAAACCCTGCTGCGTCGCTCCCCCTTCCCTGCCAACCCAGCCTCTCAGACATACAAGCACCTGGCTACTGGTTCCCTCTCTGAGGCTCGGAGGCACACCTGAGGAATTAGGGGGGGCGGCTTGTCTTGCAGCCTCCGCCTCCCGAGGCGCCGGGACCCTTGCTGGTCCCATGCTTCTCTCTCCTAGGAGGGAGATGCTCACCACCGGGACGCAACAGGAAGAAAGAATTGGGAATGGGGGTGGAGAGGATCCGACGGAGTCGCCTCGGGGTAGATAACAAAGGTCAAGGGCCTGTAGTGCAGGCCTCCCAAAGCGGAACTCGAGGATTCAGGGCTTCCAGGTGCCGGGGAAGGTGATGAGGGGCAGTTTCCCAAAGAATCTGGGAGAGGGCATGGAGATTCCCTAGAAGGGCAGGGGGAAGGGTGCGATCGCCTCCGCTCCCCGGCCCGTCCGGGTGTGTGCGGCGCCTTCGGCAGCAAAGGAACCTAAGCCAGGCGGGAGGCCACCTCACTGCAGGGACAGCGGCCCAACCGCGCAGCCCGCAAAGAACACGATAGCGGTGCTCGCCTGCCAAGGTTTTCTGCTGCTAGCGCCCCGGTAGCCTAGCAACCACTGGGCGGAAGAGGGAGCGCAGGATGACCGGGCGCTTCCGGGGAGCGAGGCCCCACCCCCAGGGCACGGGGAACCTGGGAAAGGTCGACTGCGGCCGGCCTCCAGCCTTTCAAACTCTTTGCTCCTTTCATGCAATGAACCAAATAGATTGGTGAATACAAAACTTATTAGTGGTCCTCGAAAATATACCAAACTTCCTTTACCTTTCCTTAGCTTTTGGTAACTGGTTAAGTTTGCTCAAATGGAGCGGTTTTCCCCTTTCCTTTGACCTTAGTCTCCCAGCCCATAGCTAGAATTGAAAAACTAGAAGAAAAACGGAAACCACACGTTAACCATCAAGTTTTGATTTTAGAAAGTGCTCCATTCTGGCGGCGTCTGACTTCGGCTCAGGTCATGATATCACGGTTCGTGGGTTCGAGCCTCACATCAGGTTCTGTGCTGACAGCTCTGAGCCTGGAGCCTGCTTACATTCTGTGACTCCCTCTCTGTCCCTCCCCTGCTCATGTGCTCTCTCTAAAATAAACATTTTTTAAAAGAGTGAGAAAACATTCTGGTGCTCTGCAACAATTCCTAAACATCTGGAAAACTGCAAGGCAATCAAAGCTTTAATTGCTAGTTGGTAGCATTTCTAGAAATTTGTTCTATATAAGTTACAAGAAAAAATATATATACAAAATGTTACTCCCAACACTTGCATTAATTGTAAATAAAATCTAATACACTGATACACGGGACACCCAATAGGTAAAACTCAATGATCTGCATACAAATGTGTTGGAACAAAATTCAAACTATTAATTGTCGTCTTTGGTTCATTTTATACAACTATTACCAAAGTAGGGATTACTTTTATAGTCAGAAGGAATAAAGCAATCTTAATGTTAACCACATTATATCATTTCCAAGATTTTAGGTCAAATGTTAGCTAATTATTATAGAGTTCAAGCTCGAAAATTTAAGTCACAGCACCTTCTGGTGCTAGAAAAGCCTATTTTCTCATTCTCACCCTGTCCCCATAGCTCTCCTACCCACACTGACTCAAGATCCTGCTGCTCTTTTTCCGGAGAGCTGTTCTCTTCAGTGTTTACGCATGCGTTATGCTGTATTTGATACAAAAAAAAAAAAAAAACTGGACTTAAAAGTCTTGATTGCACAATCATGAAATAATAGGATCCAATGGAAGTTAAAAAGGATGACCAATCAGAAGTATAAAAAAAGCTTTATTAGTGCATATATACAAATTTACAAGGTCAGAAACTGGAGAAATACAAACAGCTTTAAAACACAATTTGCCTTTTCTTCAGTTTAAAGTGACTTTTACCTGATTGTGATACGATAGAAGGTACAGAACAGTAAACTGCATTTTAAATACTGGAATTTTATGGAGAGTACATTCACATAAAGGGAGGTGAATTCTAGAACAAGGTAAGACAATGGAGACACAATACATACAGTGGCTCTTGTTACATTTACTGCCACATATGTGAGGGGGGAATCCTCAAAATAAAAGATACAAACACCTGCTGCTGCCTGTATTGAGATTTAAATATGCCACTAGTGTGTGAAATGACTGAGCTATCAGTTCTAGAATTTGTGAGAAAGAACTCTCTAAAGAGTGTGGCCATCTGTCAGCACAAAGTAAACACCTCAATATACCTCAGCATGTTAGGGGTGGCAGAAGAAGAGGTCAGAGATTCCCATAATCCCAGTCAAGCAAAAGAGAATACAGAGCTGCCTTCTTAATTGCACTTGTTCTGGAGTAGAATGAGAGAGAGCCACACTAGGAACTAAATGAGCCTCTATTAAACAGGAAAATCCTTCATTTTTTTTTGTCAGTGAGCCCTCCACTGAGGTATCATATTGAATCACATGTTCCCGATCACAAGTTAATGTACCTAATATGCTGAGTTTGCCAGTGTGAAAATAAAGGCAGCCATGTCAAAGCACTCAGTCAACCTCACCTCACCCTTCAGCAAAACAGAAAAATTGCATTTCACAAATGTGAGAACTTTGTATGTCTATGCTTTTGCCCAGGAAATTTATATGCTCTCCCTCATAACGTTTAGTTTATTGACAACAGTAAAACTGGTTAAGACTCTGAACTGAATGCACCAGAAAAAAAAAAAAAATTTATAAAAAAGCACCCCCTTCCCCCGTGCCCCAAACTATGTGTTTGGAGCCATTTTCCTTCTCTTCAGTCTTGCTCGCCAATCCTCAGGAAGTGCTTCAAAATTAGCATTTCTCTCTGCCATGCCACTGTGAAAACAACGTACAGATTAACTTCACTGGAAAGAAAAAAATATGAAACTTCATTTCCCAAAAGCCACTAACACTTTCAATCTGACCCATCAACAGCTATGTTATTAAAATGCTTCAAAATGTTCTCATGGGTGCCTGAGTGGCTCAGTCAGTTAAGCATCCGACTCTGGATTACAGCTCAGGTCATGATCTCATGAACCGAGATTGAGCTTCCAAGACTAAGCTTCCGTGCTGACAGTTTGGCTTGGTCTCCAGAGACTTGTTCCTCCTCTTCCTCTGACCCTCCCCCACTCATTCTCTTTCTCTCTCTCTCAAAAATGAAGTTTTAAAGAAAAGTTTCTCAGCTAAGTACCAGCACAGTCTTCATCAAATTTCTTAATTCTGATGGGTCAACCAAAGACATACTCTCTCTACAGTTTTATGAATTTGTGAGTGCATGCTTAGTTTTATCTATCTCCAGTAACCATTAAAGCCACACTCAAGAAATACAACTCTTATGAAAGTTTTTCTTGGCCACAAAGAATTACAATTCTTTAGGAAAGATCTATTTTTACCTTCAACTTACCATCAGAGACCTTTGGATATAATGTTTTTGAAATTCTCTTTTGAACAGTTCTATTTGTAAGGATTGATATCTCTTAACTTATTCAATCATTTTCAAAATAGACTAAAACTCAGATCCTATCTTATAATTACCAGAATAGGCGCATTGGATCCATCTTGTAAATGTTTATAAATCTAAAATAACCTAAATACAGTATCTTTTGTGATTCTCCACCTATCATCTTGAAATAGTTTGTTATTTCATCATTTTAGGAAATAATCATTACTCAATTCCCAGCAATACCAAAAAAAAAAAAGACTAAAATAATAAGAAAACCAAATAATGGAATCACCTACAGGGATGAAGCAAAAATGCAAATTGTCAATAAGAGCCCCTCCGGTTTTCTTATTGTGTTGCCCCCAAAAAGCATGCAACTTTTCAAGGAAGTAAAAAGTCCAGAGGCCACACCTTCATAGTGCCCCCTCTCCACCAAATACTATTACTATTTGGTAAGTAAACTCTAAGTCCCCAGCGGAGCTTGAATTCACAGCCCCAAGACCAAGAGTTGCATGCTCTACCGACTGAGCCAGCCAGGTGCCTCTGCTTTGCAAGTGTTAGACAAACCAGAAGATAAAAGCATTTTACAGACAGTGGCACTGTACATTCTAGTTATGATGGTAATACTTATTGGGTAAGTAAAATTTCAGACTATGGGTGTGAAAAGGACCACATCCTAGATGAATTTTCTCAAATTTCAAATTGATGAGCGAACTGTGTATTTCTAATAACAAAAAAGAAATATAATACCCAATTATTCTGTAACAAAACCCAGGGCTATGTCATTTCCCTAAAACGACACGACAAGAATCTTTTAGGTTTTATGATGTTGTATGCTAAAATTAATTTCAGAGGGTTATAAGTAGGCAAACGCTGAAAACAGGTATATAATGACTAGAGGAGTAGATATTTTAGGAACAATTACGGTGACCATTTCAATTGGTATTTATGTGTCTAAAAATAAAAATGTTTTCAAATTAGGAAACAAAAGATGGCTATCCTTTTCCAAGTGTTTTTGTAAGTACTGCATTTATGAATGTTATGAATATAAGAACCAAAAGCAACGATAGGCTAGAACCTATGAAAGATTAACCTGAAATATGGCGGCACTACTTATGAGATGAGTATTTTCCAGATTATGCTGTAACAATTTAATAATTAATTGCCTTCAAAGAATGTTATTCATTTTAGTCTGGACACCTTTAAAACCAAGAAAATAAAAAAATTCTGAGTTACAGATGTTTAAATTCTTTGAAAAATCTCTAACAAAGTTTTCTTCCATTTTTAAATCTTTTAAGTAAGCTATGCACTCAAGTGGGGTTTGAACAAAACCTCAAGATTAAGAGTTGTATTCTCTACTGACTAGCTGGTCAGGGACCCACTCTCCTCTAACTTTTGTAAATTACTTGTAAAATAATTTTTTTAATGTTTATTTATTTTGAGAGAGAAGCACATGTGCGTGGGGGGAGGGGGGAGGAGCAGAGAAGGAGAGAATCCCAAGTAGGCCCTGTGCTGTCAGCAGAGAGCCCAACGTGGGGATCTATTCCATGAACAATGAAATCATGACCTGAGCTGAAATGAAGAAATCAGGATGCCTAACTGATTGGGCTACCAGGTACCCCTGTAAAAAAATATATTTTTTTTAATTTATAAAAGGGTCTATTGGATCTAAATGGTAAATGGGACATATATTTTTCCTGGTATGCTAAGACAGGCATATTAAAGACAATCTTTTTGCTTAAGAGGAACAATCAGTAGGATAAGGTATTAAAACTCTGATATCTCTGGGGCACCTGGGTGACTCAGTCGGTTAAGTGTCCAACTTTGGCTCAGGTCATGATCTCACAATGTATGGGTTCGATCCCCAGGTCGGGCTCTGTGCTGACAGTGTCTCACTCCCTCTCTGCTCCTCCCTTGCTCTTACTGTCTCCTTCTCAAAAAAATAAACAAACATAAAAAAATTGAAAACTCTTGGTATTTAATTTTGAAAAAGGGTAGATCATAATTTTTACAGGAAAATAAACATCATTATGAATTATAAACTTTTAGATAAATTTATAAAATATATAAAAAATTAAGGACTGTGATTTAAAAAATACCACAACAAAACCCACTCATCTGTGGGCTTTCATTTACCTGACCAGCTGCTGCTGTTTCCACTCTTCAATTCGCTTCTGTGCAGTTGATTCCCGGTCCTCTTCACTGGAACTAGAGTTCTCCTCTTCATCTAGCTCACGCTGGATACTCTGCCACTTCTTTACCAAAGATGGCATTTTGGTTTTACTCTTCTTTGCCTAGAACAAAGGGTAAAGGTCAGAAGGAAGAAAATACATAAAATATGGAAATGAGATCCACACAAGATCAAGATTCTTCTTAGATCTAAGGAATATGTGGACTTTAAAATCAAAAGGACCAAAAACAAAAAAAACCCCAAAAGGACAGAAACACAAAAAATACTATTTTAAGTTCTTGCCCAAAATTTCTACCAACTGTAACGCATTGTTAAAAATCTAAAAACTGGGGGGGACCTAATAAATGTGTTTTTATGAAATTAGGTCAGAAAAATTTCCTTTAGGCTCATTATTCTATGGAATTCAAAACTGTTGCCCTTATCTCATAATTACAGTGTTTCCTCTTACAAATTTTAATTAGATGCAGTGTTAACATCAAGTGTAAAACAGAGCTGAGAAACAAATGACCAGCTTTTCTGGAAAGAGCAGCAAACTCAATGACAACAAATATTTAAAAAGGACATATATCAAAATTTTAATGGATAAGATTAGTTCTAAGAGGAGATCTATGTATTTGCTTATTTGTCTCCCTAAGCCCATTCCCCCTTCTCCAGCCCTCCAGAAGGGAATCTCCACAAAAACAGAGATTTGTTTGATTCACTTCTGCACCCCCAGCCTCTGAGGAGAATGCCTGACAAATAATATGTCTTAAAAATATACTTGTTGAGGGGTACTTGGGTGGCTCAGTCAGTTAAGCATCCAGCTTTGGCTCAGATTATGATCTCAAACTTCATGAGTTAGAGGCCCCACATCAGGCTCTGTGCTGACAGCTTGGAATATCGAGCCTGTTTTGGGTTCTCCATCTCTCTCTGCCCTTTCCCCACTCATGCTTGTGCTCTCTCTCAAAAATAAGTAAACATTAAAAA